GTTGTTGTTTCAGTAATAGGCCAATGAGCAAAGTTTTTTTCCACAAAAACTAGTGTTTTCAATGAGCAACGTTTTGGGTTCACAAGTTAAACAGAAAAACCTTAAACTGAACAGCGTCTTCCTAAAATGACATCATAGCAACAGTGCCCTCATTTGTCTAAAAGTATGGACATTTGAAATTTTAGTGCACTTTTCAATACAAACAACCAAAAAGGGATGTCAAATAGCTTCCATACATTTAAGAGGAGTAGATGTTTGCACAAAATATGAGCCCAAATAAAATTCATTTCATGCCCTTTAAACCAACTTTGGATACATGCCAACATTCCAAAAGACAAGCAAACAAACGCCTATCAACAAGGCTGATTACAACATAAACCGGACACTATTTGCGGCAATTAGTCACTCTAAATATCTTTAATTACTGGTTGAGGTATGTCGTTCATAAGTACTGTTCACCGTGTATTCCAGTGAAATCCGCGGGGAGACAAGCGTCAGTTTCTCGGCAACTGCCGAGTGCTTTTAAGCCGCCCAAAGCGTAAAGTCCACACCTGGCCCCGTCACTTTTTTGGCGGGTTTTATCGCCGACATAAAGCGATTAACACGGTGGCATTTGTTGCTGGTTAATGTGTACTGTAAAATTAATGGCCGTCTGTGTCTATATTATACAGCCTGCAGGCCAAGAAGTGCGGTCACCGACCAAACCACAATGTGTGTCTGTAACATGTACTGTCAATGTCTCTGTTAATATAGCATTTAAAATATATATAAAATATACTTGAGGGTCTCTTTATAAAAAAAAATGGAAGGGGAAGGGGTAATAAGAACCCAGCTCTGGATCAGTCTTTACACTTGTATATTATAGTTTCACCTTTTGGGCTTGCAGATGCTGGAAAAAGCAAAAAATCCAATCATGTTCTCGTAGTCTGATTCCCTGACCCCACTTCAGATGAAACGGGAATTGTAAGGTCAGAGAATCAGTTTACCAGGCTTGTACCCCTTCACAGGTGTGTAATCATTTGCAAGCTGGTCGGCCAGCCAGCGTTGGAAAAATAATTTTTTTTCTTGAAAATGTCAGCACACCAGGAGCCACGATTTTTCAGGATGTTTAGGCTGTCACTCCCAACAATCGGGTAAGGTATTTCGTGATAATTTGATCATTTCCTAAATTTTGGACCCACTTTTTGGTAAAATTATTTTTGCCCCCCCCCCTCCCGCATTGTGTTCTGGATCCGCCCTTGTTAATGGTTGTCCTTCATAGGGCATATACTTTCCTGGATTTAAAGAGATTTCATTTAAAGGATTCAATTTTTCATGCCGAATTTTTAACCTTTGTTCAAGGCACACTGCTGCGTGGCGTCCGTGAAAACTCACGAACCATAACGCAGGCCATGGGTCTTTTTTGCACAATGCCGAGTGAGCCCTGAGGCAAGGCTAAACAAGTCATATACACTCTGAGCGGCTACAATTGCGACAAAGTACTATTATTATCCTAAAGTAATAATGCAAACACACCGCAGAAAAAGGGTGACACACCTCTTAAAACGCGTAGGCCTAATGATAGATTTGACTGAATAAAAAATGAAACAGTCAAACTTGACTCCCGCTTGACCCTACACTGGGTCAGCTGGGTGCAATATTAACAAGGGCGAGTGCTCCATAACCTCTGACCGTCTTGCACAAAAGTCTTGCAAAGTTGCATGAAATCTATCAAAATGATTCTTGCCAGAGCTTTAGAATGCGTCGCCCAAAAATGCGATGCCGATGGCACATATGGAACACTGTACCTAGATTTATAGCGATTTGTGATACCACGTGACTGTAACATTACTGCACACAATTTGCCTCCATTCTTTCCAAATCGTTACAAATTTGGGCTTAATAAGTATGGTTCATGGTTCATTTCAATTCGTCATATCTTCAATATTGGTAAATAAATAATAGAAAAAACACTACACAAGTTTCGTAGAGTCAAACGAAACCGGAACAATATCAATACAAGTTTATAATTATAATTGTCCGCTCCATGTTGACACTTCGTAGTTTTCAACACTTCACAACTTTGTCTTCAAATGAACAAATAAAGCTTTAAATTTACTCTCGAGGCACCGAGTCCAAGTTACAAAGAAACGAGTTTTGAATTAAGTTTCTGTTGATCTTTCGTCATTGTGTACTCCGAAACTTCAGAAATAATTGGTTTCCCGAAGTGCATAACTATCACAAGTTGCTTTAGAATCAACAAACTCACTACATAAACCACCACACCGAAAACTGTATAGAATTGAAGATTCATCACTTTGTTGACACCTGACTAAAAAAAACCCAGGATTTACTCTGAAACAATATTTCGTCCGTTTCCACTACATATTATGGTTAGTATACGCAACGTTATAATCATTTCTGATAATGAAACCAAGGATTCCTCAAAAGCGCCCGAGGCACAGTGCACAGCTCGGGCGAAAGCAATTGTGGAATTAAGATAATGCGAAGAAGTACGTTACAGTTTTACAAGTGGGAGGAAAAGCCCAGAAGACTTTTCCGAAGAAAACCAACGGAATCAGGCAGGAACTGAAAACCCAATCCACATATATTATGTTTTTGCCTAGGCGGATTCGAACCCGGGTCAACAGCGGTGGAAAGCGGGGAAAGTACCGCTACGCCACTCCCCAAATGTAAGGCGAGGCTAGCCTCTTAATGTAAAGGTGCATGAATTCAAGTACCCGAGCGCATACAATTTTATATGCAATAACATTGATTCAAAATGGCTATTTACAAACGAGGTCTTTTCATGCACAGGTGGTCCACACAGTAAGCGGTATTTAGCTCATTCATACTCGTTCATTAATATTATTCATTAATAATAACGTAAGACTCAAGCAAATCTACTTTACAAATGAGAGTCTCTAGTCAGTCATACAGTCAGGTACAAAAAAAGACTATAGGCAGGCCCCTCAGGGACCAACAAAAAGTGTATTATTATACAATGAATGTGTAAGAGTGCAATGGTAAGAATAATTTCATGAGGTGACAGATGGAATGTTCCATATTCAACAAGGCGAAGCCGAGGGATGGAACAATGTCATTTGTCACCGAATGAATTATTATTTCCATTACACGAATGTGAAATATGCACCTGAATAAATCCTCGTCATCTGATTGGTCAGAGCTACCAATAATGTGACCCTGAAATAAAACCTGGAATAAGACCCTGGGAGGTGGGTTGAGACGATTAACTCGATCAATTCCAATGACATGTGATCATCGACCTACCAATCAGACGACGGGGATTTATACAGGTGTTGTATAATTCCGAAAGCCATTTAAATGTCAATGAGAAAAACAGTAACCATTGTCTCCAAGACATTAAATAAACTGCACAGTAACACCTATAATACATGTTTAAAGTTGGGCAAAACACTGTAGCAATGTTATTTGCCCAACATTGGTGTGAATTTACCTTATTGTTGGTTAATTCGGGTAAATATAACAAACTATTGGCAAGAATTTGCCCAAGAGTGAAGGCAGTTGGTATAATACCAACCCATTTGCCTTACTCCTTTTTTCTGAGTTGGGTAAAACACTGTAGCAATGTTATTTGCCCAACATTGGTGTGAATTTACCTTATTGCTGGTTAATTCGGGTAAAAACTAACAAACTATTGGCAAGAATTTGCCCAAGAGTGAAGGCAGTTGGTATAATACCAACCCTTTTGCCTAACTCCTTCTTTGTATTAGTATGCTCACATGTGACATGACGTTTTGACGTTGTGACATATCCAAATTTTCTTGATTTTTTTGTCTGGTGTGTGTCCCCGTGGAACGGCGCCAAATTTCGCGCTCTTGTGCCCCAAGAGTCATAAATGATGTACTTCTATGGTGATTTATGCGGCGTGGTTAGAGAACATGAAACAGTAGAACCGTTGCGGAGCCGCTCGGCGGCTCGCCACCGCTCAACCGGTGTTATTTATGTGTTGTTCTGAAGTGCGAAAAGTTCAGCAGTGCAAATAGATGACATATCATAGTGGCAGGGCTGGATTTGAAAACCTGCTCCTTTTAATCATTAATCAACTGCAATAATATCCAATAGATGTTTTGCATCGTATTTCACATTGAGGGCAGATCTTTTTCCATGTGAAAAACATGATTGACTTATGGTACTTTCGTTGTGACTGAATTTAAATAACAACACATGCCTTCAAAGAGGGTGTACTGTGCAATGGGTGTACTGCAGCGTCAAGGTGTTGTTCGAGGGAGAACCTCGGTTCGACATCATCTTCAAGACATATAGGATCATTTGCATTTAGCCCAAAGGTACCGGTAACCCACCGAATCACTGTGCATGGTTTGCCACTGTCTTCTCTAAAAGTGTAGTATCCACTGAGCTAAAACTTCAACAGGTTAGGTTTTGCACATTCTTCTTTGGGTTTTGAGTGGTGTAACACGGCAAAAACTGTAGTGTTAATTTAACACCATTCGGTATCTATATAGGACAACACCAGTAAAATTTAACACCAGATGGTCCTATATAGATACCAACAGTGTAAATTTAACACTGCAGTTTTTGCAGTGTACTATCGGAAGCGAACAAAATGCATGAAAAGCTAAAAGGATCCTGATCCTACATGCCTGTACACCATGTACGAAAGTTGGGCATCTTAGTCTATTCAAACACATACACATATGTAACTTAAAACACAAACTGTGACCGGTACTTTGTGCACAACTGTTAGATTCATGGTGGTGGCGACAGTAATGGTGATGCTGGTGTCTGGTAATAGAGAACGCGCTAATGTCAATAGTGTCCAGTTTAAATTGCCCAGTTGGAATATTTTGCTTAACAGACCGATCCATTCGGGCCCGCCCACTGCACTGCGCACATGGGCAACAACAGCTGCGCGCGTCATGCCCGCAGGCACGCAAGTCAGACTTTAATCGCAGCTGTGATGTGATTGGTCAAAATATCATGGGCGGGGCTTAAAGTTTGGGAAACCTTTACTTCGTTCAGTAATAACAAGTTATTGCACTTACCGCTTTCTTTGTTTCTCTTGCCACATCGACTGTTCGGTCCAGATCCTCACTGTACGCATACACTGGTGTACTGTAACGGGGTGAGTGTCCACCAGACTGGTCAACTGGTGGTGTTGAGTTCCAATGGTACACATCCGGTCTGTCGTAGAAGTATCCACTCCCGGTCTGGCTCCCGCCGTACGAGTAATCCTCATCGTGATAAACGATGGCCGGGCTGTGATTCCCGCCGACCGAATAATCGTTGTCGTGTGTCGGGTAGTATCGCGGACTACGGTCTCGCCTGGCGTTGTTGTGTGAAGCGTTGTCGTAGGAATCGTAGCCACTCCGACTATCCGATTCTCCAGACGAGTATTCGATATCGGAGAATCGACCGCATGGGTAGGTCTTGTTCAGCCGTACCGCTGATGACGACGTGGAGGAGATTTTGCGGGTTGGTTTAGGGGATCCCGTGCGGGGCGCGTGGACGTGTCTGTGGTGGCTACTGGGGTCGGTCACCGGGGATAACCAGGCCTGTTTCCCGCTGGTGACTCCGTGGGTGCCGGATAAGTGGGGACTGGACGGGCGAGCCAGGGGGCTCTCCGGCCGGGTGTCCGACCCGTACCCTAAACTGCGCCTGGCCGGTCTTTGCATCTTCGGGTTTCTGTTTTGGCTCATTGTGGTATGCATGTATCAGCTTCAGTTCGACGAAATTTCCGTTTCATATACTCCAGAGGCGAGACATGACGTGCAATTTATTTCATGATCTCCAAAGCGTGTGTATCCGTGTCTATGCCCACTGTGTCCCATGACAATCGAGCTCTGTCGACAGATGGTACGCAACTGTGGAATGCACAGAAAATGATTAGTTAAACCTCCCCTGTCCTAAATAACCACTCCGCATTCTGATTATTAAACAATGATTATATGATGGGACAGACGTATAGGTATAGGCCTATATTTATTAAGATTTATGTGTCCAAATATGCCCACCACACGTAGGCCTACATGTCTTTCAGACTTTGAAACAAGTATTCCTCGATGAAGTTAGTGATGATGCGGTCTTAGATACTTGCATAAACCTCCTAATGAACGACAGAAGACTACTATCAATTTATCAAAGGTCTCCAAAAACTGAAGAATTACGATGTTTCTTTCAAAGAGAATAAAAAAGTGTCGCAGTTAATGGTGCAAAATAAAATTCCGGAATCTAATTCAATTTAGGAACATTAATGAAGTCGCTCTTTCGTTTGGAGCTATCAAATATTGACCCGCTATAGAGGAACCGATCAAAGTACGTCCCTGAAGAGCATCCAACCGTAAAATACCGTAATTATGTTGGAATGCGGGCCAGACGTTTGTCTCGATGTAACCATAGGATCCGTGGTACGACCTTCTTCTATAGAACGATGCTCCGTTTCATTTTGGAGAAACTAAAATGTTAGCATTGTCTGCAACACAAGTCTATTTTATCTCTCAATCGCACTCAACTGATACTAATGTCTAACAAATTTGACTGCCCGTTAACAAAATGTGAGCCTGTATACGTGAACATTGGTTAAAACATGCACTTTCGACACGGACCGACCATTTTTAGCGCTCAGCGATTTCTAGTATATGCGCAAGCCATGTACACATAAAAGCACGTATGTATATAATTCATAGTTAAAAACAAATAACAGTAGTGGCTTTATATTTGACGAACAAAACCCTTTTTGTTCGATATTGTCCCGTGCGCAGTTCCGAAACTTCAAGCAAATTGGTGACACGCTGAGCGAGGTCTTGAACCAGCAAACCTGCCCCATTCAATCGGCAATGTTTTCACTTTCACAATGTCGGAGTTACACCCCAACTGAAGAAAAGGGGGCCTGCGCGTGAGTGAAAGTGCTTGCTCGGAATGGTCCCTAGTTGGCATGTAACATCGATGCTATACGTTTGCGCCAACTTCAAGCAAAAAACCACAAGGCCGTGAGGCCGCGTATTTGTACGATAACTTCCAGCTCATTTGATTTTCAGTCAGTTGAACATCACATTGGATCTGAACAGGTAATTTCAGAGGATATATGACGGTACAGCGATCTGGTATTTTCATTTCTCTGGTTCGTTTGCTGCCAAATCGAACGTAAAATCACACAGCTGCAAAAATCCTCAAAAAGTCTCCCTTTCACACACTTCGTCGCCCACGGTTTGTTATGCTTACTTGTCGAAATGAAAAGACCAAGGTCTAATACATTTGCTAGCTAGGGTTGTAGATTTAACGCTTCGTTCAATCAGCCGACAAAAATTGGCATTGACAGAAGTTGCAAAGGAAAGTAGGTATTAATAATTCCATGCAGGGGTATTTATCGAAATAAAAAAATGCGTGCAAGGTTGTAAGATGGTGGCTTAAAAAATCCTGATGTGAATAGGCTATAATTATACACAATATCGTCGAGGAGTGGAAAATACTCGAAAACGCCCATAGGCGTGTCACCAGCACGTATGAAAGACCTTCGCTGTAGAAATATGGCAGCTCTGATGAACAAAATTGGTACAGTTTTGTCAGGGCCAAATTTCCCTGGTTGTCGCATTTGAAATGGACGCAATAAAAGGTGAACACATGGGACAGAGAGCTATATGAAATAGTGCCACAAATGGATAAACTGAATATTTTTCATGAATTATCTATTGTGACTGTACTTTGGGATGTCATTTCAGAGGACACTAAACGTGTTGGTTTTACACTGTCCTCTTTGTACTCCACACTGGCTGACTCATTGTTAACTGAAGTGTCAGCTGGGCAGTGCTCTCGTATATGATAACCCCGTAATACCAATAAATAAATCTAAATCTTTAAATCAAGTCCGAATTTCCAGTCGTTGGCCGAAGATGAATGATTCGATCTTTTACACTAGAGCCCGAAAGTGAGCTGGCGGATAGGAACTTTTACGGAGTTGAGTCACAGCCATCGGGAAAGAGGGGATGACATGACGGGCAAGGTCCCGCGAGGGCCCCGCGAACTTGGGGCCGAATTCACGCTTACCGCATTCTCGATGATCGATGAATCAGTTGATTATACACTCTAAAAACTGAAGAGTTGAATTCAACACTTAGGCCTACATGTGTTCGGTCAGTGCAACAATTTGAAAGTGTTAAAATCCAACATTTTAAATGTTAAATCCAACACTTAAAATGTTAATTCAACATTTTGAATGTTGATTATGTTGATTCAACACTTTCAAAGTGTTAAAGTTGAAAAATGTTGAATCAACACTTTACAACATTTAAAATGTTGAATTAACATTGTAAGTGTTGGCTTTAACATTTAAAATGCTGGATTTAACACTTTCAAAGTGCTGCACTGACCGAACACATGTAAGTGTTGAATTCATCACTTCAGTTTTTAGAGTGTAGCTTTGCGCGCTCTGGGACCAGTTTTACCAGGCTCGCCTGCTATTGAAATGAAGTCCGATATGTCAAAATGCTGCCGCATTTCGAGTCGTTGGTCGATGACGAATGATTCGATCTTTTTCACTAGAGCCTAAAGTCAAGAGCTGGCGGATAGGGACTTTTACGAAGTTGAGAACACCCAGCGGGAAAGAGGGGATGATAATGACGGGCAAGGTACTTCAAGGGCCCCGCGATCTAGGGCCGGAATTTACGCTTACCGCATTCTCAGTGATTGATGATTGAAGACATTCTGTGGTGCAAAATATTTTTTGACTGAAAGGTATGGAGAGGGGGGGGGGGGCTACATAGGATCAATTGCAAAACTGCCAAAAATATTGTGAAATATGCTACTCGGTTGTAAGACAATAAAAGGATCAAACATCCTGTGCAATCGGTGCTGTCATTTTCAAGGAAAGAGGAACAAATCATCATAACCTAGCGATGGTTAGGACCTAACCATGGCGCTAACCATAGCGCAGTCAACAGAAACCTATATACTTCGCGTCGACAAAAATGAAGGTGCATTTTCGTAATTTTCTCAAAAAGTGCAGTATTCACATAGGCCTAACTGAAAACTTCAGCAGGAAAGGTTTTAACTATCTTCTTTTGATTTTGAGTGGTGTTACGGTGTACCGAACAAAATGCAAGAACAGAAAATTATCCTACATGCCTTTAAAGAGCCTTGTAAGACGAAAAACAAGCTGGGTAACCTCTGTCGGGCAATTTGCAAAGTATAAGTATTTAATTACCTCAATTCTTGGTTATTTCGGTTGAAAGTCATCGAAAATCAAAACTAACTATTATCAATCCACTTGAAGCTATTTCAATGTATTTCCTGGATCTCATCTTACAAAACAAACCTTTCTAAACTAAAACTCAGGTAGGATATAAGTATCTAGTCATTCATTTTTGTCGTCCGCTAATTTAAAACTAAACACAGTTGCTGTCGAAGCTCCGTAAATGCGATGTTAGAATGTAAATTGTAATTTTAAAATACCTGGTTTTTAGCCAATTTTCGTACTTCTCACAACAGAGTCCGTCAACATCGTGTCCATCAGATGTAATTACGTGTGCGGCGAATGAATGATTCATTCAGTTCCCCGTACAATTTGGGTTATGTCAAGTTGTCGCATGCTGTTTTAGCCCTGGGGATGATTACAAACACCTGCGGTAAAACGTGTACGTCACACAGTGGCAGTCGTGGTATGTGTTTTACTATACCGATTCAAATTTATGAATCAAGATATGCTTATGAATCCCAGACATAAAATTGTCACACGCAATTAAGCAAACAGCATACTCACAGTTTTCCTCGTGTGTCAAGTATGCAGCCACTGAATTTTCGACTGACGATGTGAGTATTTATATATTCCTTACTACTTTTTACTAGTATTCCAGAAGACCACACTTGCATCACAGCGTCCGCGATGTGTACACAGGCCGGATTAGGTTTATCGGTTGACGCTGACTCTTGGCGACGGCAATGATCCGAAGTTAGTGTACACCATGGTTTGTTCCTGGCTCTAAGCAAGGGTTTACAAAACTTAACTGTGCAGCTGCATTGGATGGCCGCGCGTGTACGAACTGCTGTTGAACTTGTTTCAAAGAGCGAATTTAACAATGCAGTAAGCGGTCGTATCAATTTCTATTGTGCCGTGATACGGCAAAACTTGGACACGGTTCAATGTATTTTATGTGGAAGTACCAGCAGAGTACAAAACTGCATGTGCCATCGGGTGGTCCACATTGTAGCTACGTGAAGTTTTCCACCAGCTTCAACTACACCGAGAGAATCACTAACCCACATACCGTCTAGCGCACCGTTCGCCGGGGGCAGTACCAGCATTCAACGCAACTTGGAATGTTTCCTCGCGGACACATCAAATCCGCCGTGACTGACAAGCTCAAACTAAAAACTTGTACGCACACCTTCCTTCCAATGGTACTTTCTCGCTTATGCCACGAGCAGCGATGTAGCGATTCGCTTTGCACTTTGATAACAATTTTGTTGGTGCCTTCCAAAGGTCGATTGATCGCTGATAAATTTCTGACTGGGTATACAAACTTGATTGTGAGCCATTCGGCTTGTGACTCTCGATACATTCACTGTATATGACAGTTGACGGGTCAGGTGTGTTGTTTCTAACTCTTAAGCCCCACTATACCACCTGTCGTTCCTAGTCACATCTGTTCGCAGAACTCATACAAGCGGGGCTAGGCTAGCCCCTTGCTGTGGCTTGTATGAAAAGTCAAAGTCACAGTCCTTGGTCTCAACGGCTCAGGTATACCTTTGATTATAGTTCCTTGTTCTATGGTTGTTGCAAAGTGCTATCGATCAAATTAATCACCATAAATACGCGTGATGAGGAACGTCAGGTTTAGGAGAAATGAAAAGTGTAGACGGTGTCTTGAATTGTATTTCTTGCGAATCAAGTCCGCCTGATAAATAACAATAATATTTGACGGTTTTCTTCAGGGGATCAATGAATAAATTGCACCCGCTATGACAATATTGCACTCGCCTTTGACTCGCACATCGTACAATATTTTCATAGCTCGTGCAATATATTTTGTATCCCCCTCAAAACGATCCAATATAATACAATAATCATAGCCCTCAGATACAACGGTGAAATGGTTAACGTTGGTAGGGTAGAAAACCACATGGTAACACTTCTGATACAATGCATCGTATTAACAAGAAACATTAAATATAAAGCAGTGTCTACTCATTATTTTCATAGGACCATAGCCTGTATTTATTCTCACAGTCTATAAATACATCAACCACACAGTCGTTTTGGAAGACCTAAAACGGACCACTAGGCACGTACCATAATAAACGGATCTTACCTTCATGAAAATGGGCCCTTCGACCATTCGTTCGATCTATAGTCCAAAGAAAACAGTGTCTTCAAGAAATAGTCCTGAGGAAATCTGGATGGCAACAGATGCGAACTAACAGTAACACCTGTAATTTTAAAACTTCTACTGCACACAAACTGCCAAATGAATGTAACGAACACTATGATATCTTTTCCGGTACACACACCATCGTCACACTTCACATGTGTCATCAAACAAGCCTCGACAGACTGCGTTCAGTTAAATGAAATAGTTTTCTTTTATGGTATTTGCATTGTTATACGCGATTTCCCCCACACAATGCAAAGGCGAAAAAGGAATTAAGTCATTGTCATACGCAACTGCAGCATATCCCATTCCTTTCTGCATATTCACCGGGCCATTTGGTATCCTTGCAGGGCTAGGGGCGCACACGGTCAAAGACACACTTTTTTGGAAGGGGTAAAAATTAATGATACGAAGAGCTGCAACAATGTACAACTTACAAGTAAAAACATAGCTTTTGGGACTGGCAAAGCTTTCAGATTTTCAGAAAAAGTAATTAATGTTGCTCTGGCCCACACTCTTCAACAAATGCGATTTTCCCCTCCCGACGAAGTTTCGATTTTTCTTTTATTTGGGGTCTGCAACCCTCTAAAAAAGAAGGCTTTTATTCTGATAGTTGCTTTTGTGCCTCCATCTAACGCCCAACACACACAATTTGTAAATTGAATTCCCATGTAGGCCTATTTTATACCTTGTCGAAGACGGATGTTTTCGCCCGGTGTTTCGTTCGAAAGTAAACCACTTTTGTGTTGCTAGAAAAATAGCAATTACAAAATCGATTTTATAGGGTGAAACTCGAAATTTAAGAATTGGATAATTACTTTGAAAGGTAGCCTTTGTACTTAAAGATCTCCTGTAACTGAATTATTTGTAAGGTTCATTAAAAAAAAACTCTATCAGCCTTTTTGGCTTTTGTATTAGCATGCAATCATTTTACAATGTCATGGAAAACTCGACAATGACATGATAAATCCACCTTATTTACCGGATTTATACGCTTGCACTTCCCAGTTGATTCGCCCGCGACATGCACAGATATAGCATTCGCAGCCACTTCTGTTCAAGCAACCTCGCAAAGGAATTTCGACCCGGAAGTTAGTTTCCTAGGTAACGGCCCAAACACCTTTCTTTTGTTGCCGATTGCTTCCCCTTATCGGCGGGTTCTTTGTGCGCCTCAACCAGACATCCATCATCTTTTTTTTTCTATTTTTTTTTTGTTGGAATGCGAAAAGCGAGTGTCACAATCCCTTTGTCGACCATTCACAAAAAAAGTGCAAATGAATTAGTTTCAGTTCACAAGCGCGTCCCTGAACGATTTTTGGGAGGGAGGCCCATTAAACTTTGACGTTGAAAAGGTCAATAGAAGTTTTAATTAAAATATCATTCTACGGATCTCAATTTATGTGAGTTATTTCACGCTTGGCTTGATCGACATTCTCCCATACAGTACTTGCAGACTAGTCAGGGTTTTTTTTAAGTTATTTTAAACGTGTAAGTCTTTTAATATTCGGTGTGTGTGACTCTCCATAAGGTGTCCTCAACCGGCGTTAATTTTATAGTCATTATGCTATACTAAGGCAATTTTCAAACTATGGCTCAACTTCGGCTGTGGCTACACCTCTTACTCCACACTATATAAGCCTTCAATGTCTGAACTAAATGACCTGAAGCTGCGGCCTCGTATAGGAAAAAAGTTCATTTTACAAAAAAGCAATATGGGAATACTTGCAGTAAGGCTACCTGTACATTTAAATTTACTTATACCAATTACGAGAAAATAGGACTGGAACCAAAAACTGTGTGAAGTTATTCTACCTGAAATGGTATAGGCCTATCACTGCACTCGGAAGAAAACAGCCAATGCAGGTGGTCAAAACGTTTGTCTATAACAAGACGTCTTTACTGCACACACCAGCGTGTTACACCCGGCTGGAGTCAAGTCTAATTCAGCTTGAACGTGAAACAAGCACGCGCAATAGACCTTTCTACGCTTGGTTGCAAACTATATTTTTGCCAACCACGGGTTGGTCCAACACTGCAAATATTAAGAAGAGTTATTACAGATAACCCAAATATTATTTTATAGTAGGAAATACAACATTGTCAACAAACATACAACATATTTTCTACACATGCCTTTTGACTATGTTTTGAAGGCGTTATGAGGACGTTTTCTAGAAAAATAATGGTCAACCCTGGCTTCAATTTATGCGCTCGCGGCAGTCCATATAAAATGGCGTCAATGTTTACAAACAAAAGAAAGGTGTATATAAAAAATTCTCTCTTTTTTTTTAAAAGGAACCGTTGCCTAAACAATGCTGAAAGCAAAAAAAAACAGAACAAAACGATCCATTTTTTCAAGAACATCATTATTGTAAAAAAAAAAACACACACTCGATTGGAAATTATAATTGAAAATAATTCAATAGTTTTCTATATTAGTGGCAGCTCCGATTTATAGGACCGACAGTTTCCAAATGCAGGATTTCATTTCAAAGAGAATTTCAAACACCTGCGACACATTTTTTTCAGTTTTATGGTCAACCTTGATTTCATTTTCCATCCCCTGAGGCAAGATCACAGTTATCCACACGCGACGTTTACGTGACCTTCGTGAACTATTTTTCTTCAGTCGCGCAATAATTAAAGCCAACTGTCAAAACAGAGGTGCAAAGGTCGATCATTTGCATAGATCCTTGACGACCGCGCGCGGTGCCCCCAAAAGCAGAGATCCCACAGGTCGCGACGGGCGTTGATATATGCTAAACAGATGAGGTGGGTATAAATTGAAAAATTTGGAAGATTTACGAAATCCCGTCTTCGTCTGCAACTTCGTCTCCATTCCAAGATAAATGAAAACGACGCCACTTTCAACACTTGGCCTAATATAACCAATTGCCTTGTGTATTTGCAGGGCGTCTCTGATACAGAAAATGGATCAATATTGTACTGGAGTCTGTCACGTCAGGGGACGAGTATCATGAATCTGGGGCCGGGAATCGATACAGAGACGAAGCCGAGACTTCGTAAACCGTTTCAGGGGAACACTAAATCCAACCTTGTTTCCATGGTGTCGAGCAGAACGCTCCCACTACCTGCTTCTACATTGGAAAGTTTGAAACTAAAGTTGGCCATGGGGATGAGGTTGGACTACGTCAAAGTGTGACCTGTGGCGGTCGACACTTTCTCAAATTTCAATCGAATTTCGCACTGTGCCAATTTAGGCTATTTGTTTTTGCCTGCCACTTTTGGGGAAATGCTCAACGGAAAACCTGTTCAGCAAATTTATGTTTTTATTTGTTAGGTGATGCAGAGAAGGCGAGTAGGCCTATCGGTCATGACAAACACTGCAAGACATTTCGGCTCCGTAATAAATCTGCTTCTGATCATTAGTTAAGGAAAATGTCTGCACCGGGCAAATTCCTGCTAAGTATAGCATTTGGCCTAAAAGCCTAAAAGGGCTTGGCGATATGATGCTTACTATCGTCATTATACAGCTGAACATCTGGAGAACACCCATACTGGAATGTGTATCCCTGTGGAGTATTTTCTTTGTTCTCGTGTACTAAAAAAATTCAGTTTAAAAAGTTAATTTCAAAATGCTCCTATTTTAACCAGAATTAATTTCCTGGGCTAAATTCGGTCTCAATATGCCTTACATAAAATACAATGTACAGTCAAACCCTGATAAGAAGGGCATTGTTAATACAACGTCATGCTTATAACAAGCAAAATATTAGGTCCCAAGTATTTGTTGTTTTTTTCCAATACTGTTAATACAAGGTACCGGGACAAGCTTCCCCCTGCTTCAGATGCACCTTAAGCTTCACCTCAGCGTTAACATCCAGAAGTGAACTTTACTGGGTACCTGCGTAGATGTAGACCTGTTATAACAAGGTAATTTGTGAAGTCCCAAGGACCTTGTTATAAAGGTGTTCGACGTATCAACACGCCTTGGAAATTCCTACTTTTTGAGTAAAATCCATACATCTATTTCGTGATAACCTTGTGGAGACCTATACCTATACAAATTGTTTTGTGGAGACGTACACATGTATACAATTTTTTGTTCCCTATTATACCCGTGCCTCCACAGGGTACCGTGTACCAGATCCATAAACAAGTTATACATGTAGCACCAGGAATCACGCTGAAAACAAAACACAATGCAGCCAAGTTTTTTTATATAAAAAAAGCAACATCTCTCATTTTAATATCTCTTAAATCATTTTAACAAAGTACTAGAAATAATGGAGACAATAAATACAACTATTTTAATAGCAATAATACCAATCTTCAAGTTTACACTTATACACTGAACGCTGAAAAACAAAATATCAGAAATATAACACAGTGAAAATTTACTTAGAAATAGTAAAATATAAAATCAATAGAGCAGAATGCAAAACTTACATGGAAGATTCAAAAATTGAAAAACATAATATTGTCCATATATGGATGACGATTTACATCTAGTGATTTCCCAATTTGTTACCCAAAATGTAAAAAGAGATCCTTTTTTGACATTTCAGTTCCGTTGTTTGCCAACATTTCCATCTCTTTCCATGTTTTCCGAATTAAACTTCTCCTTGAATCCCAATTCCTTCTTGAAATTTCCACATTCTACAAACCGGATTTCCCAGTTTTTCTTAACCAAGTTCCGTGTCCTGAGATTCTCCTTGGCAGTTTCCTTTAACTCTCCTTTACATTTTCCTACTTTCTGTTCTGAAACCCAATACTTTCCCCCAAACAATTTGGCAATGCAACACAACGCTACTGACAAACCAGTGAACTCACTACCTTTTTTCCCCAGCCGGATATCTCTCAAATTCAAACTGTAACTTCCCTACTTTCCATGTTTCCAATTTACTGGGCAAGCTTGAAACTTCTGTGACGTTTCCTTTACTTAATTCCCCGACAGAATACATATCAGGGGCACTCGGGGAATAGAAACGTCACCTCCAAATTCTGTACAATTACCCAAATTGCATTCAATGCATTCAATTGAAATCTCTTAGAAAAAGGTGTATTGACTGATAACAACACATGGTTCAAAACTGATTCCCATCGCCAAAGTACATCGAAGGATATGCATAGTAATGTTAAAAAACTGTTTATAAAATATGTACAATTTTGCAAAACTTTTAATTTTTGGGGGGACAAATTGTTCAACTTGGTATAGCTAATAAGCTTGCATTTAAATCGAGACTTAATCACAGCCCTTTGCCTTTTGTGCGAATTTCACGAGCGTCTTGACCTAAAAATTATCGTCCACTCTTTATGTTTTTCAATGGCAGCAATCTTTGGACAAATCATTTTCTCGACATGTTCCAGGATGCCAATTAAACAATCTCAAGCAAAGCAGAAAAAACCTGATGCAACAAAAACACAATAAAAGAACATCCTCACTTTCCGTCATGCAAACCTTGGTCTCAGTACGGCCATACGTCTTAATTAATTGGCAACAGATGGCAATACAACAAAGATGTCTATGTGAATTGGATTCAGCTGCTTAAATTGGCACTAGTGGAATTGCAGGGTGAAGTAAAGTAATTCACTTCCAAATTAAATTCAGGCATCGCGGCACATGGCAGCTAGCAGGAAAAGTGGACACCCCAACCAATTTTCCGCATGTTTCCATAAAAACAGAAAAGAACGTTGCAAGTTTGCAACAAAACGACATCTGAATATATCAATCTTGGTTAAGGTACGTGTGGTATTGCAGGATAAGTACATTTGCAAGGAATCCTCATGTTCCGAGTGCTACGCATTACCTATTTACTGACGGAAAACCATATTCAGCAAAACCACCGGGAAAATGTGAATTCACAACAAAACAGCATTTACTTTTTAACATTCCTATTCTCTATCGCTGCACAGTCTCAGTTCAGAGGTATTACATGTACTTTGTTGCATCTCAGGGAATTGCAGTTAAACACGATACTCATGTCCTCGACTGTTTTTTCCAGGACCCTGCTACTACTTTAGAAGACTCTAAGTAACACTGTGAAATACCTTGTGTCCTTGGACAAAAAAACTAAGACTTTTCACTGTTGCATTATCCCATACTGCATGGCTTTCTCAGTTGAGGTGCTTGCGACACCGCAGTGTGCCAAAGTTGCAGATGATCTCGAAGTTTGTGATAATAACGTGGAGTTCAGGTACTTGCAGCGACCTGATTTTTCAAAGTCCAATCTCTCTTAGTCCGGGGACTTGTGACACCCCAGCACTCCACAGCAGAAGGGAATGTTCTTGAGAACTCCTTGATGGTACATCAATCTTTACTTGTGGCACGGCAGAGCAGTGCGCCACAATATCACTGGACGTTCTCAACTTCTTGAATGTATATGTCTTGGCACTCAGGCATTTGTGGCACTACTGTATTAAACTGTGCACTACAGGTGAACGGAATGTTTTTCACTCCTTGAATATGTATCTCATAGTTCAGGTACTTGTTGCACCGCTGGGTGCCACAATTCCTTGGGAGGTTTGCAACTTCTTGAATGTATATCTGTCGTCATTAAGGTACATCTCTTCGTTCAGGTACCTGGGGCACGACATTGTGCCATAGTTGCACTTGATGTTCTCGACTTCTCAAATACACATTTCTCTACACAAGGGTTCTTGCAGAAACACTTTGCATTACCGTGTTAGCTTGGAATCATCTTGAATTTGCGAATGAACATAAACTTGGACGTCTCTTCGTTTGGGTACTTGTTGCACTGCAATATGCCACAGTTGCAGCAGATGTTCTTGACTCCTTCAATATATAATTCTCTTTGACTTGTAGCATCGCCGTACGCATCACATGAAGATATTCTAAACTCCTAAAATGTACCTCTCCCTTGGTTCAGGTACTTGCCTCACGGCAGCACGCCGCAGTTGAAGGCGATGTTCTTGATTCATCGGATTTGTACTTTCTTTTCAGTTCAAGTACTCAAAGTTCCTGAAGATGCCATAGTTGCAGATCTGAAATGCTTGACTGGTAGAAAGAATGAAAACCTCTCCTGGTTCAGGTACTTGCCTCACAGCAGCACGTCGCAGTTGAAGGGGATGTTTTCGACTCATCGGATTTGTACTTTCTCTTCAAGTCTGGTTCTCACAGTTCCTTAAAGGTGCCACAGTTGCAGGATGAACACCTCTCTTAGTTCAGGTACTTGCGGCACCGCAGTGCGCCACAGTTGCAGGGAAGCTTGAGGTCTTCAACGGGGATGTTGAGCCACAGTTGCAGGCGATGTTCTTGAATCATCGGATTTGTACTTCTCTTCAGTTCCGGTTCTCACAGTTCCTTAAAGGTGCCACAGTTGCAGGACGAACACCTCTCTTAGTTCAGGTACTTGCGGCACCGCAGTGCGCCACAGTTGCAGGGAAGCTTGAGGTCTTCAACGGGGATGTTGAGCCACAGTTGCAGGCGATGTTCTTGAATCATCGGATTTGTACTTCTCTTCAGTTCCGGTTCTCACAGTTCCTTAAAGGTGCCACAGTTGCAGGACGAACACCTCTCTTAGTTCAGGTACTTGCGGCACCGCAGTGCACCACAGTTGCAGGGAAGCTTGAGGTCTTCAACGGGGATGTTGAGCCACAGTTGCAGGCGATGTTCTTGAATCATCGGATTTGTACTTCTCTTCAGTTCCGGTTCTCACAGTTCCTTAAAGGTGCCACAGTTGCAGGACGAACACCTCTCTTAGTTCAGGTACTTGCGGCACCGCAGTGCACCACAGTTGCAGGGAAGCTTGAGGTCTTCAACGGGGATGTTGAGCCACAGTTGCAGGCGATGTTCTTGAATCATCGGATTTGTACTTCTCTTCAGTTCCGGTTCTCACAGTTCCTTAAAGGTGCCACAGTTGCAGGACGAACACCTCTCTTAGTTCAGGTACTTGCGGCACCGCAGTGCACCACAGTTGCAGGGAAGCTTGAGGTCTTCAACGGGGATGTTGAGCCACAGTTGCAGGCGATGTTCTTGAATCATCGGATTTGTACTTCTCTTCAGCTCCGGTTCTCACAGTTCCTTAAAGGTGCCACAGTTGCAGGATGAACACCTCTCTTAGTTCAGGTACTTGCGGCACCGCGGCGCGCCACAATTGCAGGGAAGCTTGACGTCTTCGATGGGGAACTTGTAGTCGTAGGTCAGCTCCTCCCCTTTGTGGATCTTGCGGCTGGCAAAGATGACGATGTGCTTCTTACCGTCCACTTGGATGACCCGCGAGAAGCAGTTGGGCTGAACATAAAATGATTTGAAAAAGGAAAAATAACTTTCATAAATCTTTGGAAATAGAAAGATAATGAATTGGATTTAGATGAAACCAACCAATTGGATTGGTTCTGATTTAGTTGTGTTTTATTAAAGCAATTAGTTTCGCATTGACAGAGATACATTTTGCCAAATTTGAAAATGAAAACCACATATTTTGCAGAGAAAGTACTTCAACACAATTCATCCCTGTCCATATCTTTGGTTACTAAATTCAAAGTTTTGACTCACTAAAAATCTGACTCAATCAAGCTCAAGTCCGACTGTGAGTCCAATGGCATTCACTTCCAATGATATTCCAAGGTCCTGGTTAAGCACTTGGTATCACAAGCATTGGGAATTTCTAATCCCGGTGCCCATTTTCTTTTAAAAATGAAAACAGCCGAACCCCTTTTAGATACAGTGGAACGTTGCTATAACAAACACCGCGGGATCCACATAAATTGTTCGTAATAGCGATCGTTCAGTATAGCGATTTTAAGGTGGGGGTGCTCCGGTACTCACTTTTCAATAAATAGCGCCCTTCAGAACTTCACCGTGCATGCCATGGTACATGTATTTGTAGTTAACTGAAAGACGACTTTGAACTCATGCCGACTACTGAATTATGTAATTACAGTTTTTTTTAGCTTACTACCTACGGCAATAGGTGGCTTTCCCCTTCTTTTCCTTGGGGAAATGATAGCCACTTGTCACTTTCTGCTTGTATTTTTCAACAACAATGTTCAGAACGTTGTGTACACAAAAATCAGGAGCCAAAGACAATGTTCGGTATAGCGGTGTTCAGTATAGCAACGTTCCCCTGTACAAAGTTTTCTTAAACTCACGTCGCAAGAGTGGTTGATGAACCTTGCAGCATTGCCGTGGATGGTCGCATCCACTACGTCAAAATCATCGATGCGAAACATGTAGCAACCAATGCCCTACAACAAAAGAAAAGGTCCATTATGATCCAGGTTTGTTTAAATAGTAAATACAATGTAATACAGTGTAATGGTTGAGACTACATTCTATTCCTTTCAATTAATCAAAGTCGTAAGCAAGGTTTTAACAGCATTTAGAAAATTCAGGGGTGCAAGAGCCAGCCACTATTCATGATAGTGCCCCAAACTGCCCTACCTATTTCTCAATGTAGCACCGGAAACCACCTGAGCACTCAATAGTTGTGTGGCTTCATCAGTGAATAAATACAATGTAATACAATGTAATACAATGTAATACAATGTAGTACACATGTAATTGCATTTTAGAACCTGCCTTTTTATATTTCTTTTATGGAAGTCATCCATTACAAGGCTGAAAGCCACTCTACGTAAAGGGCTACAAAGACTAGTGAAGGGGAAAAGAAATAACAGGGATGGGCCAAATTCAACAATTCTGAGGAATTAATGATTTCCTAGATGAAGAGCAGATCATAGGATGAAGGAAAGCAAGCCTCAGGCAACGAGTTCACAAAACAATATAAATAAATAAATAAAAACTTGCATAATTCCTATTTTTAGACCTGGGGATAGCTACAGCAAATGGATGTAAAGAAGACTGCAAGTTTTCCATTCAAACAACTAAAAGGTTCAGATGCTTAGGAGCATCTACCAATTTGACGGCAGCACTGGCACACCCTACCTTGCTCTCGTAGTATTTTTCTCTTTTGTCTGTCAGCATGGAGCGGATGACGGTACCGGAATATTCAATCACCATCTCGGATGCTTCGATGGGTCGCTTACAGAACAGACCACGACCATGAATGTGGGACCTGCAACCAAACATGAATGAATAAGTAAATGAAAATAGAATGTTTTGTCCAGGAATCCATTGCCTAAATTAGTCAGAGTTGAAAACAAATTTTCAAATAAGCAACATTCATAACTTTTTCAAAGTTGAAAAAAGAAGGATGTCACACAAATTATGCCTGTGGCGGTTAAGAATCGCCATAATTATACTGTTGATGTAAGGAGTCCATACTCTAGTAGGCACGTACTGACCTGTAGACTCCTACTGCCTCTTTAGCCGTCTCCTTAAGATGACGGAATCTCATCGCCATTGGAAGATCAAGACTAGTGGGTCGTCTGTGATGGGAAGGGGGGAAAAAAGGTAAAAGATCCTCTTTACAGATCATTCAAAGTCACTTTTTGAGGCATGGTTCAATGGGTACAATTCGGTACTTGTGGGAGTGAGGAGACTGCTTTGAAGGCTTGATCTCAGTGAATAACAAACCTTTGGTATGGCTCGAATGAGGTAGGCGGCCTAAAAGTATTTTGCACCCTCCAAACTTTCCCAATTTCTACAGAAATGTCCCTATATATGTAATTCTTTTGTAAACCTTTGCAAAGATTTCCAAATTTGTTTCCTGAAAATCAGGCTCACAAAATGTACATCTTTTAGATTTTTTAGGGCCCCATTTTGGAAAGGATGTAGTATCCAGACACAACTTCTTTGGCTGTGTACAAAGTTTTTGGAGAGTCGAGTGCCTTTTTAAGGTATTTTCTAACAAAACTGGAAATGTTTCTCAGTCCCAGATTCATGTCTTGTCAACATTTTTACAATGACTGACCTTCATTGAGATAACACATCATGAAAAAAAAGGCGTCTGGATGCAATATTCTTCCCCCATTTTGGTACACTGTGACTACTTGTTACACTCGGCCTTTAATGCCAGCATGAATCTAATTGGCTTATCAAGATCACATGACCAGGAATATCATTTCTGATGGATAAAAAAAAAAAAAAAACCAGGTGACCTTTCATAGTGAAATCTGATTCGTGGGGAAAAAAATCTTTTGTATCAAAAGATATCCTAATTGGATAACAAGTATCATGTGATCTTGGATAGCTCATTTCTGATTGGCTCATTACTTGGAGGACTTGTGCTGCACGTCCTGCTCTTGCGTGTCCTCCTCCAGTTCGGGCCGTTTGCGGTGGCGGGAGGCCAGGAAGTCAAAGATGTCGCGATGGGAACGCGTCTTGAAGGGCTCGGCCCGGGCACAGCCGTGTGGGTTCAGCGGGGGCTCCTGCAGGAAAACAACATTGGAAAATGAAAACCAGTTTCTACTTTTTGGGGGATTTCATGCACGTTTGTTTTAAAGTAATGACGTGCAAACCCGACCCGAAACCGAAACCAATCCGACCCGAAACCAACTTCAGGTCGGGTCGGGTCGGTTTGTTTATCTTTTTAGTCAGGTCGAGTCAGTTTCGGTTTTGCATTTTCGTTTTCGAGTTGGGTCAGGTCGCTTTAGCCATATTTTGAAAAAAAATGAAATAAACCGAAACAGTTAAGAAGTTTAGGTGATGCAATATTATTGACAGTCACTGTGACCACAGCCCATTGTGTGGTGTGGCCACCGAGCGCACTATCATGTTACCAAGGTATTAATTTCTCCAGTCGGATCGGGACTGACAGTGAAATAGATACCTTGTAACAGTTTTCATGATACCGAGTGATGATACCATGCGTTTGTTCAATAAGCAGAGTTATCTCTCCATCAACCAACTGAGTATTACAGAGAGAGAGACGATGGTTTTGCAAAAGAATTCATGCCACGTGTGTAAGGGCAGGCACAAAAAAGTGATCACTTTGTCCGGGCCAGATATTCGGGGTTTTTTCAGGGTTTTTTCAGGTCGGGTCGGCTCGGTTCGGTTTTAACTTATTTTTTGTCGGGTCGGTTCGGGTCGGTTTGAGGGAGTTAAGATCGGTTTCGGTTCGGATTCGGTTTATATCTATAATGTTTCGGGTCGGTTTGGCCTGGTCGACCCGACCCGATGCACATCATTATTTTAATGCCATGCATGATAATTTCCAATTACCCGGAATGACAGAAACTTTACTCAAAGCGTAGATGGGACTAGTAACAAATACCCTGTTAAATTTGCTCATTGGAAGCAGTTGTGAGAAAAGTTTGCTCACTGGCTTACTGCCATGTACTGACACAACAACGAATCACCACAGAAAAGAACATTTATGACAGCAAAATATCAAAAATTCTGGCAACTCTTGGTGCTGAAATAATTGTAACATTGAGGTTTCTGCCTGAAATTACATTCAACTTTTGGTCAAGAATATGGAAATTTGCATCAGCATAAAAACCAAAAAGGCACTAAAACACCCGTGAAAATGGCACCACAGAAACTAAAAAATAAGGTCAAATGGGACTCAAAGGTGCATTTTCAAGTACTGCTCAAACAAATCACATTGCATGGTCCCTTTAAACCCGCAAGGTGGGGGGAAAAAAACAGATTGCATGCTGGACAGACAGAGAAGCGGCTACAAACCTCTTCTGTAGTGGCTCCTGCATGCCGTTGATGGAACTTAAATTGGTAACGCTTGCAGTTCTTGGCACCGAAGAGCTGCTCGATCAGGAAAACCAGGGCGTCATGTTTGATGCCCAACATCTTCATGGGAGCCACACCTTCGGAGAAACATAAAAACAAAATAACAATAAGACTCAGTGGTCCAATATTATCAGGTCACTTCACTCAAATTAAAGCTCTGTATATAAATGGGCTATGCATCGTGGGTAATACAAAAGAACTTGACGCAGAGGTGCCAACAAATGCAAACAGATACTGCCAAGTAACTAGAAAGTAAACTTACCCTGAAAAGGGCAGCCTGTTAGACTTAACCCATCAGTACCTTCACTACATTGTAAGTCATTGTATTTATTCCCTGATGGATCCATACATGCAAAGTGCTGTGGTGATTTCCAGTGGTACAGGGACTAAAAAGCGGTTTGGGGAGGTACAGGGAGTAACAGGCAGGGTGGTTTGGGGCGGTACAGTGAGTAACAGGCAGGGTGGTTTGGGGAGGTACAGGGAGTAACAGGTAGGGTGGTTTGGGGAAGTAACATGCAGGATGGTTTGGGGTGGTACAGGGCGTAACAGGGAACAGGCAGGATGGTTTTTGGCGGTACAGGGAGAAACAGGCAGGGTGGTTTAGCGTGGTACAGAAAGTAACAGGCAGGGTTATTTGGAGCAATATCGGAGCTAATGGGCTAACAGATTTATGAAATAATAGAAGACACTGCTTTCCTTACCAGCAAACGACAGGCTCTTCATGCGTGTGTCATTGCGCCGTTCCTGCACCTTCTCCACCACCTGGCGCCACGCCTCTTCCATCGACTCCGCCCTGGTCTCAAACCCGTCGTCGCTCTTGACCTCAAACAGCAGCTTGAAACCATCATTGGCCTGTACCTGGGCGGGACCGGGAGGGCTCCCTCTATCACCCAAGTTCTCCTTGTTCTCAACCGATGCTTGGAGGTTCTTTGGGTCCTCCTTGCGGAGAGGAGTTTTCGGCGGGATGCGGGTTGGCACTCTTGTGGGTCTCTTTGAAGCGTGGCCTTCTTCTGCTGAGAAAAGTGTTTGAAAACCAGAATTTTGGATGGATGAACTACCTTTTTTATTAGGCTAAGTAAATAAGGTACTTTAATAACAAATTTGTGTGCTGAGCAGAATCACAGAGCCACTTGCAAAGGAGAATTGCACGGCAGTTTGGCAAGTAACCTGTTAGCAGGGAACCAGTCTTAAGAAAAAAGGAATCGCAATCATTTATCAATCGCAATCAGAGTATCATTTGTGAATGGATACATTTTCAAAGAGCAAGAGTTGTTCAATTGTTAAGAAGAAAAAGGGATCTTTCTCACCTGATGTTGGCTTCCTGAATTCAGTTTTGGTGTCACCGGGTTTGTTTGAGGCTCTTTCACCAATTTTGTCCTCCTGGTAGATTCCTGTGAACGTTGGCATCTTCATCCTTGGACCTGAGGCATTCTTAATACGAGGTCGTGAGCGAGATGGTTTTGGTGCCTTCTCCCTGGCTGGGGCTTGTTTGGGTGGTGAGTTTTTCACCAACTCGGGCTCTGCACGCAGCTGACCGAACTCATCAAACCAGATCCGCTCCTCGAGGGGGTTCTTCCGCCGTTTGGCCCCAACTCTCTTGGTCGTGTCATCCGGTGCGGATCGTTTCAGTGGATTGGAGATGACCAGTGGGGTTGCTGGAAGGCTACTGGTGGTGGCGTAAGAGTGGATGAGAGTTGGATCAGGTGGCTGCTGGACTGGGATGATACCCATGCGCTGAGCCTGCTGAGCTTGCTGCTGGATGATGGACCAGAGCTGGTCCACTGCATTCTTGGGAGATGCCAGCGACATGGACGGCTGGGCTGCCATGATGGGAACTGGGAAGGGACTAATTGATGACATCCCACTCCCTGTAAGGGTCGACACTGGCGTAAGCAGCGCCCTCTCGGACATGAACGGGGAAGGAGAATGTGTCGACATGACCTGGGCTAAGGGAGATCTGGTGGGTCTTGGCACGATTGTATTGCACGTGGGGGTGGGATTGTGGACAATGCTGGATGCAGGAGGTATGATGGCTGCTGATGCAGGCTTCATGAATCTCGGTGTTATACTCCGATTCAAGCCTAGGTGAACCGATGACGTGTTGATACTGGAGACAACGGGATATGTTTTGGGATATGGCCTTGTTACCACCTGTTGAACAGAGGGCAGATTTTGTACCAACCTCGTACAGCTGTCTAATTCATTGTTTACCGTTGGTACAGCAAACAGAACTTGGCTGCTGGCATCTAGTATCTTAGTTGTGGGTACCAGTGTAACATCAGCCTGGGATGACACAGGGGCTTGCAGGAAACCAGAGGTTGTTGGCAGGGGAACAGTCAAAGCAGGTGTTGCACTCACTTGGGTTAGAGATGAGTAAATAGGAAAGGACTGGGCACCTGAGACAGGGATCATGGTGACCACGGTCATTTGGGGGGCAAGAGTTCTAGCTGTTACCGATGTGGAGACTCTTGGAGTCTTGATGGTGGTGAAGGTGTGAGGTGTTACTTGCGATATGTCCCTGGACACGTTTTTCACTGTAAGAGAAGTTGGGCCAGCTTTTCCTTGCTCATTCTTCAAACTGGCACTCTTATCCAATGAATTCTGACCAAAATGTAAACCTAGTGATGTAGCTGTCCTTTTAAATTGTTCGTCTTGTTTCTCTGCAGTATCAACTGCAATGTTACTCTTTGCAGCATCAACTGATGTTTGGGTCATAGGAGGGAAACTCTGCCCCGAGATGGAAATGACTGATTTGTCTCCGAGTTTGTTATTTGTGTCCACATTAGTACGGGGAGGATCTTGAATGGTAGTCTGTCTGAACGTTGCATCTGCTCTTTGATGCACCTCTTGCGTTCCGCTTTGTCTTTCCCTTCCACGCCCCCTTCCCACACCATAGCCTCGTCCCCTTGACCCAAGTCGCTGTTGCTTCTCTGTGTTCTTCATATGCACAACCTGACCAGGTTTCAGTGTGATAATCTGACGGCTCATGATGACGCATTCGGAAGTTACGGGCTTGTACCCAAGGTTCAGCTGGTTTGTGGCCGTCTTTACCCTCTGCATTTGGTTGCTGGCATTGCTCCTGAAGAGACATTTCAGGTAGTCCTTTCGACCGGATGTTGCTGGGGTGGCGACTCCTGAACTGGTAGTTACTACAGCAGAAGATGTTGAGGGAACACTTTTTGAAACTGGATTAGGGCTAATTATGACCTTTGCTGTATCTTTTGGTCCAGTGCTGAGAGGCTTTTTCTGCAAGGTGCTTTCAGCTTGGCCACGGGACACTTTGGCATTTTCAACCTCTATGGATGTTGTCGGTTTCTTGTTGGATCCTTCTGGATTTTCAACCTCTGTAGGGGTTGTTGGTTTCTGCTTCAAGGGGCCCAAATCTGGTTGCAATCCTGTCCAGAGATCGAGGAGTGCCTCATTGGATACAAAATCCCCCATGACTCGTTTGAGTGGCCATCGTCTGCTGAGCTTGACAGGTTCTGAAGCTGGTGCCTTACTCTCCTCAGAGGATTTAACAGTATCTACACCAATGTCCTTTCCTTTCCCAACAGTTTTTGGATCCTCAGATGAGGTCTTAGTTCCAACACTCTTGTTACTCTCAGCGGCTTGCTTGTTCTCCTCTGTCTTTACAGGCTTTACTGAGTTTTTCTTAGGTTCTTCCTCAGCTTTCTGCTCTCCTTTTTCAGTTGAATCTGTTTCCGCCAACTCTTTGGCGGACTTTTGGGGTTGTGTGGGAGCATCCCGTATCCTGTAAGTATCGCAGTAAATGATCCCTGGAGTTCTCTTCCTCAAAGACCGAGGTGTATCGTCATCATTAATGTCATCCTTTCCATCAGACCCCTGGTTTTGCATTGAAATTTGCAGTCGTTTGTTGACACTCTTTAGAGTCAGCCCAAATGATGAACTGCTGTTGTTCTGGTTAACTTCTTGAGATGCATCCGTGTCCCTCCTCTCAGACTGCCTGGGAGTATCAAATGGTTGGCTTACCGCAAAATTTTTCTCGTCTTCTTTATCGAGTTCAGTTGGAGGCTGTATCTTATGTGACAGACCAAGTCTCTTAGAAGGCTGACCAAGTCTTTTCACATGACTCTGAGGTGTTTCTGCAAGTTTAGTCTCACTCTGGTCAGTTGGAGACTGTATCTTACGTGGCCGACCTCTCTTACATGGCCGACCTCTCTTACATGGCCGACCACGTCTTTTTACATGACTCTGAGGTGTTTCCACAAGTTTAGTCTCACTCTGGTCATCTTCTTGATGACCTTTCTCTTTGGATGCAGAGGAACTGCTTGAGCTACTCTTGCGACGAGGGACTTTATCTTCTGGATTTTCAATGATGCGGGTCAGTCGGGAGAAGGTTGACCTCATAGGGTACTTCTTGCGCTCTCCGGGACTTTGGTTTGGAAGAACTGGGGAAACAACAAAAAGGCCAGTTTTCTCATCCAGAATAAAGTCCCCTGAAACTTCATTGATGTCTTTGCATTCCTTCTTTACCTCCTTTAAGTCTGCACTCCCCTGCACATTGCTCCTACTGAGCTTCTCAGACAGTCGTGTCAGAGGCTGTTCATCAGATGACTCGTAAGACTCCTCCTGGCAGGATTTCAATACCTCATTGACAATATCCCCCTCTGTTTTGGAATCCCTGGAGGTGAATTCTGCTTCAGCAATACCTCCGCTGGTCCTTGCTTCTGTTAGGAAAGGTAACTCCTTTGAGAGACTTCGAACAAACGAAGGTGTGTTTGGCAAAGATTTCGATTTTGCTGAATTGGGTGTGGAGGAAAAAGACAGGCTTTGGTCAGGTCTGGGTGAACTTGGTGCGAAACTCTCCAAATCATTTGAAGACTCCAATGCCAGATTGCAAGACATACTGCGCACTCTATTATTCTGCACTTTACAAATATCGTGGAGGACGACTACTGCTTTTGGCAGTGTTTGGGAAATAAAAGTCTGGTTGGACTTTTGGTGTTGGTCACTTTTATCCAACTGCCTGTCTGCATCTTGCTTCTTCTCATCACTGCTCTTAAGAAAAACGTCGTCATCTGTGTCTTCCAAAGTGAAGCAAACCTGATTTTCAGATGCAGTTTTAATGCAGAAGGCCTCTGAGGTCTTTGTTTCATTTTCTTTACTGCACCCTGGATTTGGTGTGGCCTTCATTTGACTTGAAACTGACACGCTTCCATCTGAATCTCCAGACCCTTTTTGTGATTGTAAGGGCTCATCCACCTCCATTTCCAGATGGGCTTCAACTTCAGACTGCTTACCACCTGTATCTGCTACATCCTCTTCATCATCTCTCGTAGCTGATTGTACTACTAGTTTGCTAGACTCAACTGCCAGAGTTGTGGATAAGTTGGTCTCAGGAAGAGTACAACAACCAGTGTCTTCAATGTGTTCATCAGTACCACTGAGTTGCGGCACCTGAGATGGCAAACTTGTGTATCCTTCATGCTGAACTGGACCTTCTGAGTTCACAGTCACTCTAGCACTTTGAGATGACTCAAGGCTCTCAAAGGGTTCATCAGTGACTGGGTCTTCTATTTTTCTTTTCTTTGCAGCTGGCTCTGCCGCTTCATTTAAACAAGCTTCCTGAATCTCCACTTCAGACCTCGGGCCGCCCTCAGAACCATCAACTTCATTCAGGTGTCTCTTATGATCGCAGAATTGGCCTTGAATGTCTGTGTCGATTAAAACCACTTCTTTCACAGTTGCCATCTCATCTTCTCCCGGAACACCCTCTATGGATACAGCAGACTGTATCGCTTGAGACAATTTGTCACCATCTGCCACAGAATGTTCAGGTGCTATTAAGTCTGTTGGCTCTTTGGAAGATTCCTTTTCTTCTCCTGCTGGTACACATGTTAGGACATCTACATCTACCTCCATGGTTTCCACGTCCAGACCGCATTTGTCGCTAGTCTGGTTGAGAGCAGCATCTTGCTCTGTGATGCTGGTTGAAGACCGTTTATCGATTACTGTGACTTGAGACACTTCATCCACCCCTGAGTCCTTCTTTCCACCTGGATGGGAGCTAAAGATCAAGTTTGTGTCAGGACTAGGTTTACTTTCTTCAGACAACTTCTCAAGCTCTTCAGTTCCTCCCAAAACGGAAGTTACATCTTCTGAAGCCACTGTAGCATTAGCAACTAACGCAGAATCTGCATCAATATTTATGTCATCAGTTAATGTTGACTCTATTCCAACATCGTCTGGCACTGTTCTAGTTGCAGATACTGGCTTAGAATTGACATTACTTATATTCCCTTCATCAATATCTTCATTGACCTTATCATCAAGGTCATCCAAATGAGGTTCAGCAGGGACCCCTTCATATTTTTTTCTAGATAGTTCTTCTGATGGTGTTTGGCTATCCTTTTCAGGCATGACTTTATCATCACTTGGGACATTCTGATCCTTTGCAATCTCTGACAGAGCTCTATCTGGCACCTCTTGACAATCCACAGATGGTCGGCTCACTGTCAGATCTGAGGTCACTTCAAGGTTGCCCGATTGACCAGCAGATGTGCAGATGGAGGTATCCATGTCGCTCTGGTTCGGCCGGGACACAGCCATCTCAGTGACACTTAAGGGTGGTTCTTGCTCTGTGGAGGCAAGAGCTGAATATCCACGCAGATTCTCCAGCTCAATAACATCTGTGACTATGTCTCGTGTGCGCTGGCTCAGATCAGTGTCCTCATCTGAGCAGGTATATTGTGCACTCTTTGAAGCATTAGTACTTTCTTGGGAACTCAAGCAGCCTGTATCTGATTCAACACCTGACGATACTGGGAACCCTCTCAGCAGGTCGCCGTCATCATTTTTAATGTCTGTTGACAAAGTATCATCCCTGTCGTAAATAAGCGCTACTGGATTCTCAGGACCTCTGGAACAAACTGTGCTATCATTTTTCACTAGTCCTATTCCAGCAGCACCTCCAAAAGCAGGTGGGTGGCTTTCTTTTATGGTGGATTGTGCTTCGCAGCCACTTGAAGGGAGAGTTTCATTAGGGTCCAGTTTTGAGCTGTTCGTGGTCTCCTGGGGTATTATTGAGGGAGGCAAGTCAAACTTATGAGTCTCTTTGGTGCCTGTTTCAGTCAACAGCTTGTCAATGAACTTGAATATAGATCTTGTGGGAGTGTCCCCTGATAAAACCATTACGTCTTGGTTATCAGGTTTTGTAGCAGGGATGCTCATAGGGGTGCTATTGATGGAAGTGATGGCAGGCTTGTGAGATGTTGACACACCCTGGAGCTTAATCAGATCTAAAACCTGTCCTGCTGTGGTAGGAGGTGATTGTCCTACATTGAGAATTGAACTCATTGGAAGAAGAGCTTCTGCGGATGTGGAAGACTGTGACAAAAGGTTTGATGTTTCTACTGACAATCCAGCATTTGTTTTAGTGCAATCAGAAGGTGATACTCTATCTGTTGATGATACTTCCATAGCATTCCCAGAGGTGATACCTGCATTGACTTCTATGAGTCTGAAGTCTTGGCTCTCTGAACTGACTGGTGTTGCAGCATTCGATGAAGTCTGAAGGCTTTGATTTAGCTCTTCATTCAGTTCCAACCCTGTTGAAGGCACCGTTGTCTGCATTTCTGATGTGTTGGTCTCAGACCCACTCTTTGCAGAGGCAACACTGTCTTGGGATGATCTTCTCCTGGCCTCCTCAATTTGTCCACTCTGTGCTGCATAGTTCAAATTCATAACCATCCGACCGAGGTTTTGTGAGAGATCAGATCCTCCATCCGGAGCATCTGATATCAGGGAGCTTTGATTTGTAAAGGCACTTACAGGCAAGCTCTTGAGAGTTTTCTCCGATAAGCCAGTGCTGTTGAGAGCAACACTGGTAGAGGGTGCTGGAAAAGACTGAGTAAGCCTGATATCCTCAGCAGAGGTCTTGAATGACTCAAGAAGTTCTCCTGGTTCAAACATCGGAGAGCTTTTACTTAATGTATCAAACGAGTCTTCAGGAAACTCTAAGGAAGCAGCTGGTGTTTCTAGGTGTGCAGTTTGCATCTGGTCAGAAAAGGCATCACCCATCTCCATGGCAATCTCTGCCTCAACCTGATCCAAGGCCGCAGACAGCACCGCCTCTGGGTCCACGCCTCCATCGCGGAGCTCCGCCTCGCACTGCAGTAGCATCTCCGGATCCAGCAAGGACTCCAGTCCTGTGCTGTCCAACGACAGCTCAAAGACCCCATCCATGGTCTCCACCCCAGGCTTCTCCATCCCGAGCTGAGAGCCTTCCTCGTCCATCTCTGGGATGCTGGGCATGTCGCTGCCTAGCTCTGTGATTTGTGCGTGCGACCTTCCTAACCCCCGCTTGTTGAGGATACCAGGGCTGTGGGCTGTGGTGTGGTTGACGTCCAGGGGAGACTTCGGAGTAGCAACTGCTTTGTACTCAAAGATGCGGATGGTGTACACACAGCGGCGTCGGGCATCAAATGTACTCCAGTAAACTCTCTGACACCTGTTTTAGAAAATCAACAAAGGAAAGACAAAGCATGAATTACACTAACAAAATATGTGCAAGGATGGTATACTGGCTTAACACACATACTTTATACACAGAAGACAGAAGCCAAAAGGGGCATTCAGGAAAACAGTGATAAAAGCGACTTTTACTACCATCCGGAGTACTAACAGCCAATGAACTTAAGGCAAAAAACAAGTAAAACCATTACATTTTTGGTCAAAATTGGCTATGATTGCAGCTCAAAAATTCTTGGTGTAAATAAGTAGCCTAAAAACAGAACCCATCTCATTTAACTACATTACAGTCGATTAAATCTGTTCCGGCAACTACTTAGGGCACTTTGCCACTTTCAACAAATGATTATGTACATTTTTTCCAGAGCAGAGGGAGCATGGTTGTGTTTAGGTCTCTAAAAGACGGCAATATCTGTAGGAGAAATGCAACTGCGTATTTTACGCAATCAAACACACATTGCGCAGTGTTTTAAATGTTCCAAACACTCATGTTTGTTGCCCGAAATGTGTTTGAAACATGACGCAGCCGATGCGCGTTATGCAATGCTGATGTCCGTGGCTGGTCTGTAGGAAATGACATCATTTGAGAGAGACCTATACGGTCAATCACTTTGTGCATCAAGCCTCACCTGAATTCTAAGGGGTACAGAGCGTCGTGTTGGTCCGAGGCTGGTCCCAGGCGACCCAGGTCATCCACGGTCAGTGACCCTACCATCACGTTGATGCGGCTGACCTCCAGACCCTGGGTGAAGTTGCGGTTGAGCTTCATGTTGTCCAAGCTAACGCAGACGCGCCGCAGAACAGCAAAGTTGCCTTCCTGGATGGTCTGGACAAAGACAAAACAAATATTGTTCAGGGGACAATATTATAATATTAATAATGATAATAATTTGGGAGGTTAATCATCCTTACTCTCAGCAGAGAAGCTGAATGTCGAAGGACACGGCTACAACGTGGTCGAGGTAGCCTTTGGTAGCCAGCCAAATGACTCATACATGACCACGGAGCACAGCCACCAATCCAAAGTGTTCAATTTTTTGGAGGGAAGAAAACTGGTGGGCCCGGAGAAAAACCTTGTGGCACAGGATAAAATGAACGCACAACTCTACTCACATGTGGTCCTTGCAGGGAACGAACCAGGGCCACAGTGATGAGACCCAATTATTCCTATATCCCCATTGATGCATGTATATACCTTTTAGATCAAATGCCATAAAACTTGACAAACTGGTAACGATTTTGTACCATTTCACTCCATGTTGAAGGTCACTTCAATAGTGGCCACCATCATATTAAGGTCAATTCAGACCGACATTTTCGGCACGGTACCCAAATGATGCATCTTTATACGTAGCATATTTATTGTCCATTTTCGTTTCCGTTCAACCATCATGCCTCTACATACACACCCACACCTGTTTCACATACGTAGTGTGGACTTTCCTTTCTTTTCGTGTAGTTAAGGAACACCAGTGGAAAAACTCATTTTTCTCAAACTGTGAAAACTCTTACAACCCAATTTTTTTTCAATGATTCCCTTTAGTGTTTCTCTTCATTCTGCTACAGATAAACCTAACCCAAAAATGCCTCTAAACCTGTTTTCCAGAAATGGGGAAACACTGTGTGGACGTGGGCAAGTCCACACAACGTCGGTGCTACCTACATTATGTGGACGTCTTTTGTTCGGAAGTCCACACTGCGTATGTAAGACAAGCTCACCCATGTGTGTATGATACTTTTGAGCTTATTCAACATGTCACATTTATGTGCTATGCATGAATGATCAGTTACAATTTGGAGTTACAGAAATGTGAAAGTCACAAAACATTCCAAAAATAACCCCACACAATCTGATATATCTCACACAGAATGTGAGATTGATGAACGTATTATTTTGGCAGAATTCGGTGTCAATTCAGTGACGACAATTTATAAGTAATTAATGTATCACTTTCCAATATCATGTATGAGAAGAACATACAAATTGATAAAATTAATAAAGATAAATATGATACAGGCCCCCTCTTTTTGAACCAGCAAAAACCCTCAACTTACATCTCGGTCCACCTTATCTCGGTGGGTGTCGCAGAAAACCTTCTTGTCTTCTTGGAAGACGCACTTTTTCTCCCGAGCGCACATGAAGTGGAAGTTGGCTGGGCAGCCCCTCTGGCAACAGCCAACTGTCGCGCCAAACTTGCTGCACCCCTCACAACGCTGTGGGATTTCAAAAGGGCAAATTTCAAACACCAGCCGTTCACTAACCTTTCCAATCATTGGTCTCAAAATTAATTTCACCAAGAACGTCCCGCTTTGACTTTGTCCCAGTGAACAAACATTCTTGCATAGGATTTTTAGGCTCTTAGTTTAAGAATTTGTGTCTTCTAAAAGGAAGACTTCATTTTCATCCCACGGTTTTCAATTACCTCCTCAATCCTCCCAAATCAACCAGGCTGTTTTAGAGGATTTCGGAGGATTAAGAATGTATCTATTTTAGTGCCAGTTGATTTTGGAGGATGCATTGTGTCAAGGTGTTAAGCTGTGCCTTGTGTTGTTTATGCTTAGCCATGCAGACATTATGCATAATTATAGGTTATACTAGATATCATCTGCACTGCTTCTGGATTATATATCCGCTCTGCTCCAATATGTGTAAAACTGAGTCGGAGAATTTTGAAGGATTGAGGCAGTGGTCACCCCTCCACGGAATAAATTCAAGAACTAAAGGATGATGTTGGAGGATTGAGGCTGTATCAAATTTGTACAGGGTGGCAACTGGAGGATTTTGCAGGAATCAGGATGGTTCCTAGCCAAAAAAGCCTTGGCGGTTAGGGTCAATCAAACTGGAAAATGTAACCAAGTAAGAGATGATTGATTACCCTCCCCAGCCCCTACCCCATGCCCACCCAAGCAGGTGTGTATTTGCCTGCAATCGGGGACCCCCTATTGTTCCTCTTTTATTTGTATTTTAACCTGAGTCTTTCGAAAGTTCTTTCGCAATTCCAGTCACCAGTAACGGAATGCATTTGTTACAGTTCATTTGGATAGCAAGTGACTTGACTTGATACTGAAGGACTTGTGATGGACTTGTGATGGACTTGTGATGGACCTGTGATGGACTTGCAATTGATTTGTAATGGACTTGTGATGGACTTGTGACTGACTTGTGAAGGACTTGTGATGGACCTGTGATGGACCTGTGATGGACCTGTGATGGACCTGTGATGGACTTGTAATCGATTTGTAATGGACTTGTGATGGACTTGCAGGGACTTGTGGAGACTTACGATGGACTCGACTACAGCACTGGTTGCATCTGGCATTTACCCAAACTTCCAACTGTCGTTTTACTAAAGTACTGGACCAAGGCCGCCAAAATCCATCAATCACACTGCTTCCCATGCATGCTTTGCTTTAGGCCTCCAGGCCCAAGTCCATCATACTCCAACAAAATTTAGTCAAACCAGGCCTGCAGGACAAGGTCCCATAAGATCAACCAAAATGGGGGGATGGATTTTGATGGAGTTGGGGAGGTTAGGGTTAAAGGTAGGAGTTTACTGGAAAAAGGGTAAGAGTTCATTGAAAAAAGGTAATTATCGTTGCGGCTCTAAATTTGACTCACCAATTGTCGCCCCCTCCATATGGCTGCGTGGACGTTGATCAGTGATCCGTCCATTTCTTCAAAGACCTCTGCCGACCACAGTCCACAATTGATGTGGATCCATTCATCCTGAGAGACCAGACAAACATGTAAGAAGTCAGGGAGCAAGACCTTAAACATTCACAGGTAACAACTTTTTTTTTTAAATACCGTTCTCGGTAACCTAACCGACCCTACAATTTTGGGAGTACATAGGGTCAGGTAGGCAGCAGAATATTTATTTTGTTACAGTTATTTTATTGTTAATAACTTTTAAAATTATATTTACATGTACATTTCTCAAAGTAGTTTAGAGCTACCTGTCTTTTACTATAAATAGAGTACCTAATTGTTACCTAATTGGTACCTAATAATTGTGTACCTAACTGTTGGTAGATACATACACTATATAAGACTCCGGTACAGTGGAGTGTTGCTATACCGAACATTCGGTTATACCGAACATCGTCCTTAGCTCTTGACTTTTGTGTACAAAACGAACCGAACATTGTTGTTGAAAATGCCAACAGAAGAGCGACAAATGGCTATTATTTCCCCAAGGCATAGAAGGGAAAAGCCACCCATCGATGTAGGTAGTAAGCTCAAAACTGTGTAATTACATAATTCAATAGTCGGCACGTGTTCCAAGTTGTCTTGCAGTAACTACCAGGGCGTGCAGGGTGAAGTTATGAAGGGCGCCATTTATTGAAAAGTGAGTACCGGAGCACCGACAGCTTAAAATCGCTATACCGAACGATCGCTATTACGAATAATTTCTGCGGATCCCGCAATGTTTGTTATAGCGGCGTTCCACGGTATTACCTTAGTCACCTGACCGAAAACTCTTTATCTAATTGGTCAATAGGCACTGCTCGATTGACAGGCCAGAAGGGTGCATACCTGTCCACAGTAGAGTAACCTTCCGCCATCGTTGGGGTCCTCGTCCGAGAAGCGACCACACAAACAGCATCTCCTAGTATCGTCTGTGCTCGGCTCAGCCAATGGAGCCACTTGTGCATTCCCTCCTGAAAAGAGATTTAGAACGACAAATCCCGTGGATTAGGTTTTCATACGTAGGGTTTGAAATTCGCACTGGAGCAATGGATCCAGGCAGCGGTGTGTTTTTATTTGCAGCACACATCATCAATGGATCATGATTATTCAGATAGATTGATGTTTATTCATAAGAAAATAACAATGACGTCACACCATTGCTATCACTCAGTCATGCATGTACATTAAAGCATTCAAAGAACAGCTTTCGTTGAGCTGCCACAGTAGCCTAGTGGATAGTGGAATGAACTATGTATCGTAACATAAGTTTAATTGAAGTGAAAACAATACAAGCTAAGTGTCTTAAATCCACACAGCGTGATAAATACTCGTCTTAGAGTGCGTGATGTGATTGGTTAAATGAGGATGTATGCTGCAATAAAAAAAAAGTGCATCCAGGCAAGCGTGCCACATCAAGGACAGAACAACACCTAGGTCTAGTATCTTTTGTATTTGCAAAAGTAAATATATATCATAATTGAGATAATTTAGTATGTTTACAAAAATGTCAACAAAGAATGAAGTAGTTGTAACAGATAAGGCCCGTTCTAAACGCCGTGCTACGGACTGCTGTGCCAAACTCAATTGAAATGAGCTCGCCAATAGCTTGTCGATAGCACGGCAGTTGCTCTGAACGCCAAACTTAATAGTCAAACTAAATGCATCTAGAGTAGCACGCCAAGTTAAATATAACATTCAAGAAGATCAATGAACTTTCGGCGCAATCAATAATTCACGCCAATTCCAACGATGTGATGCGGACGTAACAGAGATTACTATAAAAGAGCATGCGTATTCCTAAAGTGGGAAAGAATGTTGCAACCTGACGCTACTTTTGATGGTATCAAGCTAAATGACTCGTTTGTTGACCCTGGTCAATTTTTTTTTTTTACAGATTTGAAAAGAGCACAATCTAAGCATTACTGCTGTGAAAACCGCATGCTGGTACCATCTTTAGTTCAAAAATTATGGAAGTTGGAACACCAAGAGATGTGATGAAGTGGCCATATTTTGGCCTGTATCTCCACATGAAAGTTCCCGACAAACGACTCATTTAGCTTGATTGCATCAAATATATCATCTTACTAAAGATCAGTCATTGCAAATATGTCGAAAAGACATGAATCTGGGACTGAGAAACATTTCCTATTTTGTCAGGAAATACTTCGAAAATTTTCTTGACTCTCCAGTGGTGTCTGGACGCTACATTCTTTCCCTAAAAAGTTTGCCCCAACTTTCAATTGACACAGTGTTTCAAACAGCCATGTGGTTGCCGTGCCATCATGGAATGACGATAGAACGGCAGATCCTGTCAAGCCAAAGGATGGTGCCGTGCCGAACTCCAATTGCCAAACCAAATCGCAAACAACATGCTATCGCCATGCCGAATTAAAAAAAAAAAATCAAATTAATTGAGTTCTGCGCAGCAGTAGAAAGATGTTCATTTCACTCTCTGTTGTGCTTATAGGACTACACCTTACCGATGATTCTAGCCGGCGTTCTGTTTGTCGGGGAGAAAGGAAGACGCTTCAACGTGGACGGCTGGCACATGGAGGGTAACGGATAATTGGTGTGCTTCCACTGAGCGTACATATGATCACTGTGTGGTGGGAGGACAGCCTGGGACAGCATCCCACTGGATAATGAAAGCAAGGATATGATTGGCTGATTAGAAGTGGCCCTATCATTCTGGACCAATGACAGAAAGGTTTCCAAAAAACAAACACCCTACATCATGTTAAAAATAGTTACAACATTGCAAGTGATCAGTTTATTGAAAGTCAAATTTGACATCATTGCTTATGAGAAATCAATGAGAGACTTTTGAGACCTTGGTGGCAGCAAACACACCGGTCCACACATACTGAAATTTGTATCCTTGTGGAGACATTTCTTTGTTCTCGTGCACTAAAGTATTTGAGTTTGAAAGTACAGTTTCAAAATGCTCTTATTTTAACCAATATGAATTTCCTTGGCTGAAATTCGGACTTAATATCCCTTTTCTAAAACTCTACCATTTGCGACGGATCAACCCACCTTGGAAATTCCTAGTTTTTGAGTAAAATCAATTTATCTATTTCGTGATAACCTTGTGGAGACGTATTCATCGATAGAAATTGCCCTGTGGAGACGTATACAATCTTTTGTTCCCTATTGTGTGCATGTCTCCATAAGGCACGGTGTATCAGATCATTTCCATTGTTTGCATCATGTTTAAGCTATTGGCTCAAAATGATGCAAACAATGGAAACAGGACCGGTGTGTTTGCCGCCAGCACCGTCTCAAAAGTCTCCCATTGAGGAAGTTGAACACAAAAATGAAAATTTCGATGATACTGATTCACAGCTATTTTTTGGAAAGTAAAAATGCTTTTGGTTTATTGTAATTTGGTTTAAAATCTGAATGAATGGTAGTTCAGTTTAGTAAACCCCCCCCCCCATACTGTCTCAAATTCTGTTTAATTTTGAAAAACCACAATTTCAGGGTTGAGAAAGTCTGACAATCGGATAAAAGCTCAGAAAGATGCATTTCTTTCTATATGATGTCTTTCTTTAAGTTTCAAAAAGTCTGAATTGGGATAAAAAAGTCAGAAAATATCATGCCTGCAATTTGAAATTTTCTCTTTTTAACTTGGAAATGATTAAGTTGCTGTAAACAAATTGCACCTTTACAATCGGGTGTGACACAAGAAAGTTTAACTTGATTTTCAAATATATAATCTGGTAAGGGCCTTCTAAATTACACATCTTTTTTTGTTAATCCTGACAATGCAATCTTTAAAACTTTGTTTTTGTGAGACATCCTGCAGTGACACCCCACCTCCCCCACCCCCAAGTCAAATGAAACAATCCACTCACTCAGGAAACTTTTGGTTCTGCTCCCAGGACCTGGACGTCTCCACTTTGTACCAGGGGAACATCTTGGCCATGTTCTTGAGGAAGAGGGAGCAGGCGGTGCGATTGTTGCGTTTGAGATTCAGTGACTGGTCAGTCTCTGATGACAGCGACTGCTGGATGATACGGACGCAGTCATCGCAAAACTCCACCTACGCAGGGGGGAAAGATGTGAATTTTGACACACGACAAAAATATAATTTATATGTAATCAAAAAAAGTGCTCACTACAAAATTTTCTCAACTTACCACTGTCTTGTAGTGTTTATTTTTCACTCTCTTGTTCACTGTTTTCAAGTCCTTTGGGTGGTCCGCCTCAGATGGTGACTTCTCTGTCAGACCTCGGAAAAGACTCACCTCCGAGGTAATGGAATCTTCTAAATTTTGGATTCCGTCTTTAGGCGAGACATTGTCTGCAGGGGCAACTTCACTTTTTATTCGGGGGAGTTTTCTGGTGTTTGGATACCAGAGGTGCCAGATGGATCTTTAGTTGTGATGTCACGAGTTGCTAGGACACCAATTTGTTCTTTTGAGGACTCCCTGGTGTCTGGTGTTCTGACATCTGATTGGTCAACAGCCTCTACATCTTTACAATCATTGGCTGGGTCACTCAGGGCAGGTTTATCCATGTTCTGGGGCCCTGGCTCAGCAAGTGCATTTTCAACACTAGCAGACTCCTCCCTCGTAACATGAATAACCTCTTCACTAGTCTCACTGAGTTCTGCACTTCTCCCTTCATTTTGCTGCACCTGTTCTGGAGAAGAAATTTTGCACGAAGAGGGATGAGGAACTTCTTCTGTTGAAGGAGCTTCCGGGGATTTCATTATTACATCAGTAGATTCGTTACTCAGCTGAACATCTGGAGAAGCTGCAACTTGTTCAGAAACCAAAATGGTGTCAGAAGTGGGATGAGCAACTCTTGGCATCACTGCGTCATCACCATCCTCTTGATCTTTGCCACTGAGTTCAGGGACACTTTCTCCCAGGGGCTGACACTCTACCAGCTCATCCTTGGATGTCTCTGATGACAGAACAACTGTCCCTGTTTCATGGTGCTCAGTTTCGGGAGGTACCGGTGAGTTGAACTGGAGGGGTGGCTCATTCCCCGAAGTCCTGTTCCCCAAAAGTATCCCCTCAGAAAGATGTTTGTCCTCCGAGGAAACTTGTTCTGTTTGCACGACAGAAGATGCAGCTTGGGCATGATCCAGAATGGCAGGGCTCTCACAATACTCCCTGGATGATAGTTCAGCTTCAGCAACAGACATTTCTTCAGAGAACACTGTATCAGCTGCAATTTCATTGGATGATTTTGTTTCATTGATTTGTGTGTCCATAGCAACATCATCTTTGACATCTACCCCATCGTGGCTGTCTGTGGCAGTTTCCATAACCTCAACGGCCGTATCTGTCAAAGCTTCTACTTTCTCAACGAAGGCTTCATCTTCCCCATCTTTGTTTCCAAGGTGGCACATCACCATGTCGACAGGGCTTGTCCTTGAAGGTTTCGCTTCGGTCCTATCTTTAGCTCTCAAGGGTGGATTTTCCTGGTGAACTTTGGGGTCCTTTAAGAATCTGGGCGAGACCCGGCGAGAGATAAGGTCCATTCTTGACTCCCCGTGACTGGAATGCGAATCCACAGACGTCGTTTCACTCAGGGCCGGGGAAGCTGTGAGGTCACGGGTTGCTCCACTGGAACTAGCGGGAGAGATTGAACGGTTGGCAGACCGGCCGTGCTTGACCTGAAATGAAAACAACACTGTAAGCATCAACAATCTTTAAAATTATTTGGGTCGAACTGAGTTGCTGCTAAGATTATTTGGTTGGGCACTGACTCGGGAATGCAAGTCTGAAGGGGTGTGATAACACATACCTTCTTTTCTGCATTGACCAGGTGTGCTGCGCTGCGGCAGTGGTACATGGCCCGTAGGACGTTCTGAAAGCCCGCCTCCATTTCTTCCTCTAGCTCCACCTGCCACTTAGCCGGCCTGACGGGCTCGCACTTGGTGCAGTGGTACGGGACACTCTCTGGTAGATCGGTCATGATGTGGTACATGTCATCTGCAATGGTCCAACAATGAATGGAAAAGTTAGGTGTATAGTGATTAACAACTATGAGCAATCCAATGACCACCATTACTGAGGTGACACCATGCTCATGCGCACTCACACATGTGCTGAAGTTCAGGCATGTGCTATTTGAAAACACCACTTGTCAAAGGAGCACATCAGTAATTGCTTCTATTTTGGTCGCCAGATAAGCCTTTACAAATGATAAAAATGTGGTGTATCACCCAAACCACGTCAACATTTTGAAACTAGCTTCTGTACTACATTTGTATTACATGATATTTTATTCCCTGATTAATTCATGCAACCATAGAGTGCTAGGGTGGTTTGGGGGCGGTATAAGGAGCAAAAGGCTTTGTGACAGTACAGGATTGGGTTAAATTTCTATCAAACTACTAATAGTAAAGACCTATTAGTTTGTGACATCACTTTTTGAGTGGTGGCCTTACCCCATGTCTGTGCGCTAAAAGCATAGTCTAGTAGGAAACAGGGGTCCCCATGCACCCCGATGATATATTTTTTTAACTTACTTTTTTGTAATCCTCAAGGTGTCTAGTAAATTTGTGTGCTCCCCTTTTGAAATATTGTTTCATGGGGTCCGCTTGGCGGCCATCTTGGATTTCCAATGAAAATCGATAATTGCCATAACTTTGAATTTAGACATCGTACAGAGACAAATGACCCCACTTTTCAGAGTCATTTTGGGCATGAGGAATTGATTGGGAGGGTCATTTTTATAAAAACCACAAGTTCACACATAACTGCTGGGTACTATGCCGTCACTCAATTTGACGTATCAATCCAGACGCAGTCACTGTGATGTCATGAAAATTATGTTTATAGCTGCAGGCCTACGCCTAGAGAACATGACCACAGCAATCCTGGTTGAGTGGTAAGATGTCAGAATTAATAGTAAGCAGGAGGTTGTGGGTTCGAGTCTCACCCGAGTAGTTTGAGTAAACAGTGTTTATAAAAATACAACAGTGAAGAGTGACAAATGACCCCACTTTTCAGAGTCATTTTGGGCATGAGGAATCAATTGGGAGGGTCATTTTTATGATTAAAACAAGTTCAAACACAACTGATGCACAGTGCATTGTATGCTGTCACTCAATTTGACGTATCAATTCACTGTGACGTCATATAGCTGCAGGCCTACGCCTAGAGAACATGACTACAGCAATCCTGGTTGAGTGGTAAGATGTCAGAATTAATAGTAAGCAGGAGGTTGTGGGTTCGAGTCTCACCCGAGTAGTTTGAGTATACAGTGTTTATAAAAATACAACGGTGAAGGGTGAAACTCAGTATTGAACATACAGCAATCCTGCCATACCTGTCAGCCCCTCGCATTTGGCGTGCACCCATCGGTCACACTGTGCACATTGCATCATCTTGGAGACATAGTCATCATCTTCGTAGCACTGGCTGCAAATCGGACAGTAGTTCCCTGCAGGAAAACAAAACAAGAGAATAAAAATGAGCAATTCAATATACAGAACTGCTGCTGTAAATGCTGCTGTACAAGTTGTGCTCCCCGTGGTCTTCAGCAAATATTGTTTTTTTTATATTAACAAATTTCAACATGCAAGTTTTCTTCCAACCAAAAACCGTATTTTCTCTTTTTTTGGGGAGGTCTGCATGCAACACTCTGAAAAAAAAAAATTGTCTCTGAGCACAAACAGATCCGCTTTACGATCACACTTTACAGGGAGTAACTGTACAATGACTAATGAATTAAAGGCCGAGATGCGTAAATCACGCAAATTTGAATGCAAAGCGAAATTGACTGCCAATTTAATGTGCTTAAAGCTATAGTCCATCATTTGCAGCAATCCGAAAAAGTAACTGGCGTATTATTGTTGAAAAACATACTTGGTTGAAAGATAGTAAGTGGACTAAACTCCCTGTGAAACTAATCTTTCTGGGCAAGCTATCATTTTGAAGTAATCAATGAAAGAAGGCCTTTCCAACGCACCATAGGAAAATTTAAATTAGTAGTTCGTTTTTTTATTCGGCGCAGCGCACGCAAGCATTGGCACGACGCACAGGCACGCGCGGTTGCTATAATTCGTCGGATCAGTGCGCGACATCGCCTATAGCTGCAATTCAAAACAATTCAAAACATGATTCAGCAACTTTTGATTTGAAATTGAGATCCTAGAATACTGTTTTTCTCAGAATATACAGCTGAAGCTGAACTGAAACTTCATCAGGTTAGTTGTTCAGTACCCTTCTTTAGATTTTGAACACTTTTGTTGCTTCAAACGAACAAAATGCACAAATTACAAATGATGGACTATATCTTTAAGGGAGCATTTTGAAAGTCGGGGTGGTCGGAACAAACAAAACGGTTTGTTCGCGAACTAGACCTTTCCACTATCTACATTTACAAATTTACAGCACCACTACCTGTGGCAATGTTACAAATTCCTACTCGGATTCAGTCTGTATGAACTAGTCCTTACATGCAATGGCTATTTTCGAAAAAGTTGACCTACGCCTGTCATATGGCAATAGCAATAATTCTACTTGTTGCTGAAGTGCCAAACAACAGTGCTCAGGCATGCAACTGGGAATTTAGAAAAAAACGAGGAAACTCCAAACCAAACTACAGTTTGTATAGTGTTTTTCAATTTGTAATGGCATTCATTCATGAGAAGTACAAAACGAGGAAATCAGCGGATCCGAGGAAAAGTTGCATGCCTGAGTGCTAGCAACACAGGCTTTTTTCGTTCCAAATAAACTTGTTTAGTCTATTAAAAATCAAACCTACAATGTACATGTGATTCTAATATGTGAAATTCCCTAATTAATGTTCCTTTACACAATGCAAGATATAAAGTTTAATTACGTTTACCACATCATGAGGCTCGACACTACGCGTTTAACACTACAGCAGTAATTTTGGTTGCCCATGTACTGACAGAGCGTCAAAAATTACAAATAACTGCAAACCGATAAACTTTTCACGCTTGAAATATGTTCCGGTTCTACCCCTTACCTTTGTCAAAGAGTTTACCGCAATCTTGGCACAGCGAGAAGTCATGTGACCACTGGGCGTTGGGCACCTGACCCGGGGTGGTGGCACCGCAGCTTTTGCACTTGACGCATTTTGTGCATACCTTTAATGACAGAAAAAAAAATATTTTATAGGAATTATACCAAAACTGTTTCTAAAGTCGTCTTTTTCGAGAGTAATTATAATAATAACACATTCTTATATTGTAGCACATTTCAGGACCGCCGAGCTCGCAATGCGCTTTAACAATTCATAAACAATTAAATATATATAACTAAGGAAAACAACTTTCAAATAAATGTGTCTAAAGGCTGGTATTAAAGAATCAGAAGCAAAGTATATAATTTTGTAGAGCTGGTTATCAGAAAGATCCTCCAAAAACGACTGGTTGATTTTGGAGGATTGAGGAGGGTTCCGTTTTATTGCCTCTGGGTGCAAGGATCAATATTTGAATAGAACAAAACAATGTATAGGATTATTATCTCACCCATATCTTTCTCCTTTTGGATGGTTTGGTTGGATAGTTGGGTCCCAGGCATTCCGGGTGGTAACTGCTGTGGCATTTGTCGCACGTCAAAAGCTGCAAACAGCAACAAAGTTTTGTAGAAGTTATACCAAAACTATTTCTAAAAATTTCTTTAAATTTCTTTAAACTTATACTAAGTCGTATTCGAGAGAGTTAGGAATCAGAAGCAAAGTACATGTATATAATTTTGTAGAGCTGGTTACCAGAAAATATAGCTAGTAAAAACCAGACGAGTACCTGCCAATCAAAGTCAATGTAACTACAAGGCATTTGTCTGGTAACCTATTTTTGCTGAACAAAAACTGCCTATTAAGCAAATTTCTCAAGCTGCCCTCAGATCGACCTGTGATGTGCTTGCACCGCAAAGGAACCGTCGGCATGAAGTACAAAAGTCATGCTCAGGTAAAAAAAACTGTGAAGGCGTGTGATTATCGTTGAACAAATGGCATCTGGCCACAGAATAATTGCAACCATGCTCATGTCACCCGTGACGCAACGATTCACAATGAATTTTGATGATCCGGATGTATGCAAGACGTTGTAACTATACATAGATCTACTGCGATTGATTCCCATCTGTTGGGACCACGTTCCACAGAGGTGCAAAAGTTGAAATTTGTCTACTCTTGCGACTGTCCATTTTTTTGAGCGCCGACTGAGGCCGATCGTCTTGATATCACTCAGGTCGTAAAAAAAGTTAAGGTTGACCTGAGGGAAGCTTTAAGCATGTAGATTTATCACTATTTAACAGGAATATACATCATTTGCTTTTGCTGCAATTTTCAGAAATGAATGGAATTGGGGGGTTGGAAATATATAGCAAATATAGTTACACTGACTTTTTTGAGGTTTCGGGTTCGAAAATGCTATAAAAACCAAGAAAAACAATCATTTTCCTGTAGTCTGGTTCCCTGACTCCATATAAGAAGAAACAGGGCGGGTTAAAATTCATTGGGGAATTGTAAGGTCAGGGAACCAGTCTTGCTGGCTTGTACCCGTTCATAGGCGTGTAATCGATTGCAAACAAGTGCGATGGTCAATTGGGGCCAGTATTTGAAAACGCTGTTGGCCGACCAGTGTTGGAAATTGATACAAAAATACCACTTTTCTTGAAAATGACAGTATACCAGGTGCCATGATTTTACAGGATGCTTTACAATGTCATTCACTAACAGTCCAGCAAGGTATTTCAAAATGATTTGGTAGTTTTATTTTTTGATGTTTGCAAATGTTGTATTTTCCCTTTAAGGGATACAATTCTTGACTTCGCATAACCGAAAAATGTATGCAAAGTGCATTCACCTTGTCTTGCCTTCCGCACACGTGGCAGAACTTGCAGTGTCGGCAGCACCAGTTCTCCTTCTCTCCCTCTAGAGGGCGCTCATACTCCTCCAGGCAGAACGAGTGAAAGGGCTCGCAACAAACGTTGCAGTAGATCAGCTGTGGGAGTCAACAATAGGAAATGAGGGTGGATACTCATTTATCTCCATATGCTGTGCTTGTTTTAGTGTTCATGTTTTCTTAAGTGGATCTGAAAATTGTTTGTTCTAATGATTAAAACTAATTGTAACTTATGACAAATTGCATATGAAATGTACGGTGAATTTGACTCATCAAAGTATCTTGAAATCGTTCACATGTAATTGCATACCTCATGTTTACCAGTGCTGCTGCATAGGTAACACACAGTGCGGGGTACCATCGGCTCCGACGACAGGATGGCAATGCCGCGCTGCCACGCTGTCTCAATGTCGTAATCCTCCTGAAATGATCCAATCGAAAACACATTTGATCTATTAAAAATGTGTTACAATGGACGTGACACAACGCGCTATGTATGTTTAACTATTAAAAGGGAAGATGACATGAACATTGGTCCTTTTTATATAATTGTGACCTGCCATAGCATAATGAGGAATAACCCCCACCTTTGAATTTTCACAATTATGTTCATCATGTTAAAGCGCAAATCATTGGCTTTCCAATGATACCAAATTTATTCCTGTAGCTTAATTTCTTCCAAAGATATGACGCAGGAATTTCCAACAGTGGCCTGCCAAGTTTCGCTAACCTCAATTCAAGAAAAACAACTTTCAAAAAAAGACACTCATTGCACAGCCATTGGCAGTGAAAAACGTTCTTCTGTATTTCTACCTTTGTGGGTATTGTTTCCTCAACAATATTGCATAGTGTGAATCTTGGATACTTCGGCTACTCAAAAATACAAAACAATAAATATCGATTTTGACATGTTTTTTTCTAGTACATTCCGATTTCAGGCATCGATTACTCAAAAGAAGGTTTTGGGGGACATTCCTCATCCTGCCTCCGTAGGTAACAATTAAGGTTTCATGTAAATGTTTTTGCAAAATTTGAAAACAGATTTATACTTTTTTTGTATTAATTTAAAGGTCATGTCATTAACACTGGTAATCTGGGTGATGGTGGCATTATTGATATCTATTACCTTGAAGTCAATGTTGATACGATGATGGGTAATCTTCAGCGGCTCAATCTGGGGCTTGGCTTTCAACTTGGCCACGGTCAGGCTAGAGGAGCTGGTCCTGTTCGCTTCCAACTTGCGTAACTTGGCCTGGAAATCAAGAAGGAAAGTAAAACAACGTAAATAGTTTCTGACCGACAACGTGAAAATCAAGACGAGGCAGGGCTAGTAAAGCTGGTCCCAGAGCGCAAAGGATTCTTTTCAGTTGATTCAGATTAGGCGAAGGTTCACTTTTAGAGAAAATGTACAATTCGTCTGTAAGTTCTTTAACCCTAACTCCCTAGGAATTTTTGCTAGGGTACAACCTCAATCCTGCAAAATCCTCCAACTGCCTCCATGTAAAAATTGCATACAGCCTCCAACATTATCTGTCATGTTTTAAATGTGGTCCTTAGAGGGGTGACCACTGCCTCAATCCTGCAAAATCCTCCGGCAATAACTGTCAAAATGTTGAGGCAGAGCCAGTGACATCCTGGAGCAGTGTGGAGGATTTCAAGTATAATCTAGGCTTAAATTTATGCACGGCTGAGCATAAACAACACATGGTCTGGCCTCAAGACCTTGACACAGTCACACATTTTTTTCCATATCCTCAATCCTGCAAAATCCTTTGAAAAGAGCGTTTTGGAGGAGTTGGGGAAATTAGGGTTAAAGTACAAACAAAAGAAGGAAAATAGGAGGTCAACGATGGAGGATTTGTACACATTATGGGTGCATGTTGTTATGATAGCTACCTTAAAGGGTACTTGCAAAAAGGGAATTATAGTACCCCATAAGCCGGTCTTTATTTTATTTCTTTCTGGTAATGAAACCAAGGATTCCTCAAAAGTACCCTAAGCACTGTAGCTCAAAAGCCTGAAGAAACCTAGAGAGAAGACAATGAGAAGAAATTACAGTTTTAGAGGTGGGAGGAAAAGCCCAGAGGAATATTCTGAGGAAAACCCACGGAATCAGGCAGGGACTGAAAACCTAATCCACATATTGGCCCAGTCGGGATTTGAACCCGGGTCACAGCAGTGGAAGGCGAGGAAAGTACCGCTACACAAACCTGACAACCCTAAGAACATTTTTGTTCTTTGTTCTAAAGAAGAGGGAAAAAGGAGAACAGTGCAAGTATCCCATAAACCCCACCTGTTACCTTTCAGACAGCAAAATTCCATCACCTTTCCTTGTCTATGATCAAATTACGAAAATCATGACCTGGTTTATCAAAATGCCGATCAAAACTGTAAAACATGTTCTGTGTAAAGTGCTTTAGCAGAAGTGAAATTGTTAAAGTGCAACTAACTGCGAAATCTGTGGGATTTTGTCGGGCATAACAATCTGATTTCCTATGCTAAATTATGAATATATACAAACTTTAAAATTGAAACAAAAACACTGGTTCTCACGAAATTTCTCGACTTTTTTATGACTTTCGTCATATTTAATAATTTTCTGTGACTTTTCCAGACCGGGAAATTGAAGATGACATTTTCCAGGTTTCTTCCTGGCCACGGGAACCCTTTCTAAGGTTTGGTGTGTTCACGAGTTGTTTACTAGTTAATCACAAGCAAAGTGAACCACTGCTCACGAAGTAGACGGCAGACGGCAAAACCTCATTAAAAACAACAAATAATGCTACAAGTCCAGCTGTATTTCACTATTATAATTCCCACCTTCTCTTTCTCCATCTGTATCCTCTGGGCCCGGCTCATGGGTCTGTTGGTGAAGACCTTGATAGTGCCGCGTCGCGTGGGCAGCTTGATCCTGGCCTTGGCCTTGCCAAGACGAGACGAGCGCTGCTTGAAGGGCGATGATGTCTTGAGGTTGGCCCGCGGCCGGTAAACGGCATCAGTGACCCTGACTTGTTTTTGGTGGAAACTTGGTACAGGCAGCTGCTCCCGTTTGCCTTCTTCGACTACAGAGCAGGGAAAACAGTAGTCACAGGAAGACTGAATGTACCTGAATCCATCATAATCCACACCCGTTTTGGAGGATTTTGGCAAATTTCGGCAATGGAGGATACCTCCATATTGAAATTTTTTGTTGTAATATTTGAACCAGCAAAAAGCTATTTGAACATTTATTGATGATCGAATATTCAACATCTTTGGGACAGCCCTATTGTTTGGGTTTTTTGGCTTTTCCGAATAGTTCCCGAAAAGCCTTTGATTTGTTCTGATTTTGTTTCTTTTTTCTTTTTGTTTTCTTTTAGTTGTCCCCCAAATCGACATTGTACATGTTTTATTCAGACTGGCACTTTTGACATAAAACAAAGTCATATTCCCATAAAACTGAACTTAGGCAAAGACCCCAAAGTGAACTGGTGTCACCCAGCGTGACATCATGATGATGTCATCTTGGGACAAGTGACATCATCTAAAAGGTGCAGATAACCATGTAGGATTTTAATTTTTTTGAATTTTATGGTGCATTCTGCAAATGCTGGACATACCTTCTTGTAGAACCTGACTTTTATACCGTGGATTCCAACATTTTCGATGTCTGAAAAATGAACAAGAAACGATTCAAATATATGTAAATCTTAGGATTTTCTGTTACTTAAGCTTAGAAGGTTTAGAACGGGCAGCTGATTTCACAAAACACTGCCTTAAAGGTACATTTCCTTTTGGTGAGTTACACCACCACGTCATAGGCAATGCAATTAGTTTTCTACTTACATACAGGCTTGTCGCTTTTTATTGGGACCTCCAAACTTCAGTTTGTCTCTGCATAAAATAATAATTAAAAAAAATAGTAATTAAAAATTCCAACAATTTCAAGCATGTTTTACACTGTTATTACATGAATCAGAGGTCGACTGTTTTGAAGTCCAGAAAAAAATGAAAAGTATTTTACCACAATGCCAACTTGTTGCCTCAATGCTAACAGCCAATGTGCTTGAAAATTTGCCATGTAAAATATGGAAATATTAATTAAATCTGTACAAGCGCCTTTTGAAGAAAACGATCTTAACACCAAATGTGTTGTAGCCTCTTTTGTAACCTTACAACTACTACATGAAAAGCTCAAGAATTAATCAGAAAAAAAATCAGAATTAAAATAGATTGCAGTATTCTCCTCCAGGTGTGTGTAAAAGTCGGGAAGGGCTACTACAAAAGAAGTGGATTTCAGTATTTCAGTCAACTTTTAATTTTTGTGTATGACAAGTACATGTAAATAGTTTGTTGACTTTGAAAGCACATAACTTAGCTCAAGACAGTTGGAGTGCATTGAATTGCTATCATTTTACAGACTGGTTAATACAATGAAACTTCAATGGGCCTTATTCACGAGTCGGCCATATTGGATTGAGAGTGAGGTAAAATCTTCATTTTTGGAACTTATGTAGCGAAATGAAAGAACATGTAATGACGTTACAAATAAATACCAGTCTTCTCTGATGAATCATTTCAAAGTTGTGATTAACAATGTTTTAAGCCACATTTAAAAAAAAAATGCAAGTGAGGCTATAGTGAAAAAAAGTCTGGCACCATCCCATTCAACAGTTCACAGTTTATGAAATACATTCAGGGAACATGACTAAATGGCCAATTTGCCGTCGTCACAAAATTTGCTTCAAGTGTGAAGCGGCATTAAAGCTGATGTTGACTCTTTCCAAATGTAAATCAATGCCGATGATATATTTTCCTCAACTTGATCGACGGATGACACAACACTTATCTAAAAGCCCCAGTAACCCCCTCTCGCAAAACTTACAAGCAGAATTCACAGATCCCGCAGTCTTCCTTCTGCTGGCAGGGTTCGCACTCCCCGCACTTCTGCCGCTTGGCTGAGCCCACCTTCACCCCCTTGTAGGGAGCCAAGCGGCACTTTCTGTCGTGCATGAAGGGGAGGTTTTCCCCGGAGAGCGGGGCGCGGTCATCCTCGGTTACCCCCTTGCCGGCCAGCAGCGCCTGGCGTATCTTCTTGTAGTTGGCCCCCCGGTTTTTCCGGCTGTATTTGCTGGGCGATTCTGGGGGCTCTCCACCATCGGTGGTCAATTCTAGGACATAGGAAAGGAAGTTGAAAGTTCTAGGCTTGAAAGGAAGTTGAAAATCTTTGGCATACTAACAGCACAGATACGATGCGGGTCTTGTATCAACAGTTCAACAAATGTTAAATCCTGACTTCACAACCCCACCCCAATTTTGACTTTTACCTTGTTAAACTAGAATTTTATGGACTCCAATCGGAATAAAAATAGGGGACGCCAGTCCGCACCAGTTAAAATTTACATACAGCGATCAATATGGAGCTGTTGACAAAAGAAAGTGGCATCCGACAAAAAAATGATGCAACTTTGTGGTAGAGTAAACATCACAGTCATGTGTGTACATGTACCTACATGTTTTTCTTATTTTCGAATATTCAAAGCGGCAAAAAAGTATTCTAATGCAGGCATGCAACTAGGAATTTAGGGGAAAAAACGAGGAAATTCCAAACCAGGTAATGGCATTCATGTGAAGTAAAAAACGAGGAAATCAGTGGATCCGAGGGAAAGTTGCATGCCCGCTAATATTCAGTTGATGATCATATATTCGATTACTCTGGACAGCCCTAGCCCAAAGGTTTCTACATAATGCCCCCTCGTTTGTTCATGCATTGAGCCCACTGGTTTCATGTTTTTTTTTTATTTCCACATACCTATTTTGACCGTCTCTTTCACGCTGTCCCTCTTCTCCTGAGGCAGGGCACTGAGCGTGCGCTCCGAAGACAAGGAAGGGTCAGGAAAGGTCGCGACCTCTAACCCCAAGGCCAAGGGGGCACGGCGACACACATGCTTGATTCTCGGCCCACGAGGGATGGGCGTCGCAGTGGCCACTTGGGCGTCCACTTTGGGCTTCTGTGAAGAAAAAAACAACTTGGAATTTCAAAACAAATTCAACTTTCAACACGAGTTGACTTGAAATACACATTGAACTGTTGCATCAAGTTTTCCATTTTCATTTCAATTTGTGTTTGAACGCAAACATCCGTTACAAACACGGCCATACGATGAATTTTTCTTAGGAAAACACATTTTCTACATGTACTCACCTTAAATGTATGAAAAATAGTTGACATCCCTTTGCGATAAATTTTATTGAAAAGTGCACTTCTTTAAACATTTAAAATTGTCCTTGCTTTTTGCGGACAACTGAGGGCGTTGTTGCTGTGAAGCCATTTCAGGAAGACACTCTGTTCAGTTTAGGGGTTTTCTGTTCAAATTGTGAACCCAAATTTGTTAAATGAAAACATTTGTGAGAAAGGTTTACTCATTGGCTTACTGTCATGTACTGACACAACAAGGAATGACCAAAGAAAAGAATAATTACATTAGCAAAATATCGAAAATTTCAGCAACTTTTTGTGCTGAAATAGCTGAAACACTGAGGTTTCTGCCTGGAATGACATCACAGTTTCATTCATGAATATGGAAATTAGCATCAGCATAAAAACAATAAAGGCACCAAAATACCCTTGAAAATGGCAAAACGAAAATTGAAAATAAGGTTAAATGGGACACAAAGGTGGATATCCAAGGACTGCGTTAAAAAGAGTGACATTGCAGGGCTCTTTAATATCGAAACTGACAAAATATTATGAAAAGGTCCACTTGATTGTACATGTAAGTATTAAAATAGTAGTATTAACCCTAACTCCCTAGGCCTTTTTGCTAGGATGTAGCCTTAATCCTGCAAACTCTTCCAATCCGCCTCATGGAAATATAGCATATAGCCTCAAGCCTGCAAATTCCTCCGTTGTTTCTTGAATATGGTCCATGGAGGGGTGACCACTGCCTGAAACCTGCAAAATCCTCTGGCTATGACTGTCAATAGGCTGAGGCAGAGGCAGTGACATCCTGGAGCAGTGCGGAGGATGTCCAGTATAATCAAGGACTAACTTTATGCACGGCTGAGCATAAACAACACAAGGTCCGGCCCAAGACCTTGACAGAGTGCGTACTCCGAAATCAGCAACGCACTTTGGCCATGTAACCTCAATCCTGCAAATTCCTCCAATTTGCAAAAAGGATTTTGGAGGATTCAGGGTGGTTAGGGTTAATTAAAAAGATACTGTGAAAATGTAAGGTATAGTGTCATTCTCAAGAAAAGAGGATCATGTCCATAAATCATCCGAGAAGCTGACTAGAAAGAGAAAGGTGGCGAATGCTTATTTTCGGAGTTGCTGAGGTGGCTAGCATCACTGACGACGCCGATGAATAAGTAGTTCAAAACAACTCCAGAGACAAGTCAAAATGGAAAACTGTTACATCAAGTTGGCAAGATTGAAACCAAACTCCATTCATATTGACGGGAGTTCTATCAATTTTGATTTGGTACCACTCTAAAACACCTGTCTAGAGGGGGCATGACAGTGTTTTCAGTGGTTGATCCTACCTTGGATGGCTTGTCGGCGGTCTGTTCAGGTGACATGTCGGCTTCCATGGCTTCTACCATCTGCTTAGAGACTGTTGGAGAAAAAATAAACAGCAGTTGCTGATTACGCCTATTGCTGATTGCTCAAAACGTGATCAAATGGGGTTGCGGTATAAACCTTTTATGCTTTTATTTTGCACTACATTACGTTTTTCATTCAATTATCAAAAAACACCAGAAGGTGAAAGAGCACGTGCCCCTCCCCCCCCCCCCCCCCCCAACAACAACAAAATCCAAAAAATCTTAGAAACTTCAAAACACAAACACAGATGTACTGATACATGTATGAAGTACATACATAGGTAATGTCAATACCAATGTTCCAAAAAATAAATTAACATTTTCTTGTTGAAAATTCAATTGATACCATCGTCTGCATTTACCTATTGAGGCAAAATTAAATTGACCGTTCCAGCAGCTATTGAAATCATAACCACAATGGAAAGTATTATTCGACCTTAAAAAAAGTTGTCAACTTCGCAATTTTACTAGTTGTGCAATGAGCAAATAAGGAACATTTATGTAATTCGGGTGAGTCACAATGCAGTGCGCCACCAAGAGTTTGCCACGGAGAGTTCAATTTTTCCCAGGGCATTGTGGGAGATGGTCGACAAATTCACAGCACGGGACATTTGAAATTGTCAGTGTTTCCGGTCAGTAGTTTCGTAAGCGTATGATTCAAGTATCTGTTTGCCTTTTCTTTTTCTTTTTATCAATACGGTGGTTTTTTTGGTAAGGCGGCAGAACGCTATTTATACTCAGTGTGTTACCTCCCGAGTGAAAGTTGGAAAAAATCACTCGGGCGGGACTCGAACCCACGACCTCCTGCTTTCCAGTGCAGGTGTCTTACCACTCGACCACAGAGCTAACAGGATCGATTGGCTGGTTCGAATCTCAAATTGTCTACCGACACTTGTTCATGATTGGCCATGGTTTGTCAACCGTACACTTGAAAAATGGACTCTCTACGGCAAACTCTTGGTGACACACAGCATTGTGAATCGCCTGAATTCTTAATTTGCGCTTACCAGCATCCAGGTGAGTGCCCCTATCCCCTCCGAGGGACGATCTGGAATGCTGTGGTGTCTTCACCTCTGACGAGTGTGGACTCGCCCTTTTGTCCTTCGCCAGCTTATGTAGGTGTGCGCGGTGGCTACCCTTCACCTCTTGAAGAACAGGGGAGGCTAGTTGTGGTTTTCTCTCGCCCTCTGTCCCCGACTTTTTCCTGATGTGTGAGTAAGCACCCATCTGGAATCCTCGGGCTTTCCTTTTGTCTGGGGTGGAACTGTTTCTCTTAGAGGCTTTCTTTACACGGACAGTTTGGAGTAGATTTGAAGTTGTTAATCTTGGGGCATTCTCATTCTGTCTTTTGATGTCTTCTTGTGGTTCTTGTGCCTGGATGGCCCTCTGGTACCTCTGTATCAACTTGTTTCGGCCGGTTTGTATATTCTTGTTCCCCATTTTATGTTTTACTGTTGGCCTCATGGCTACAAAGCCCTTCTTACGACCAAAACACTTGAAGTGAGCTTTAGTAGGAACAGAGCCAGGCCGGTAGTCCAAATCATCGTCGCTGGACACATCCGCAAACAATAAAGTATCGTCTAGCTCCTCGTAGACTGAGGACTCCTCTCTTGGTGAACTTTCTGAAACTGGCTTGGACAAGACGTTTGATGCCTTTGAGGATGGAGACGAATCATTTTCTAGATAACGCTTGCAAGGCTTGATAATACGGGAAGATCGGGCGCTGAAAGACGGGAGGAAAAATGTACCTGCAATTTTTGTGGCTGACGGCGGACTTGACACGATGCCGTCACTGTCAAGATCTGTAATCTGAGGTGATATTGGGCTTGCTGCTGGTCTCCGATTCTTTTGATTCCTCTTGAGACTGGATTTTACTGGCACCAATGATGGGACCTTCTTGTGTTTGACAACGATGGCTGTATTCTTACTGTTAGTTTTCTCTTTAAACTCAGTAACTACAGCTTTACCGGATGTTTTGATCTTCTTTAAAGCTGCCGCTGTCCTGCTGGGCGGAGATGGACTACCTGTCCGCTGCAGGAAGTTCACATCTGCAACCATGTCGTTCAGCATGAGCGATTTCTTAATCATCCTCTTACCGACCATGGTCAGGTTTGTATCTGTGACTGGCTTCCTCTGTTTTCCTTTGGCGCGGGCCAATATCTGCCGTGCTGCAACGTCAGTTCTCTTGTTTGAAAGCTTGTTGGCAGGGACCGATATCCTCACGACATCCTGGGATTGTAGACTAGGCGGTTCCAATTTGACAGCTGTGGTCTTCAGTTTCTGTTGAGGCAGCAGGACCCTGCTCCTCTTGGCCCGCAGTTTCTCTTTCTTGGCGAGCGCCTTGGCTCTCTTGCGTTCCCGCATTTTCTCCTTTTTTGCCTTATCTTGCAATCTCTTCTGTTGCCTCTTCTCCTTTGCCTTATCACGCTTCAGCTTCTCTCTTCGGGCCTTGTCCTGCCTCCGAAGCTTGTCTCGCTCCTTCCGCTGGCGGATCCTCTCCCTGGCCTTCAGATCTCGAAGGAACTTCTCCTGCATCAACTTAACTCTCTTCTCCTGTTTGTTCAGTGACGTGGCCTTCGGTACGCCGAGGTCAGGCCGTACAAAATCCAGATTCAAAGCGGCCGGAGGTCGACGGTGGCGGACGATCTTGGCCTTCTTGCCATCTGGCAACAGTTTAATCTTGATACTAGTGATCTTCGACGGCGAGCTTGACTCTGATGACAGTGATGGCACTGCTTTTTCCTTTTCCACAACCTTACCTTTCGGCTGGATACCATATCCTACCAGTTCCTCCGGTCTCTTCAGTGTGTACAGCTTTGGTGACAAGTCCTCCTCACCACGGAGCATTGCCGCGTAGGATCGGCGTATAACGTTCCGGACATTCCGACCAGAGCTGTGCACTCGCTGCAGCTGCGGCTGCAGCGTGGATCGCTGGGGCATCCTTCGGTCCTTTGACTGGCTCTGCCGCTCCAGGGCCTCCTCTTCTTGGAGTAGCTGGTATGCTTGTAGTTCTCCATCATCCAGGGTAAAGCCATCAAATTCTTCTTCCTGTTGGAGGCAAGAAAGAAGATCATCAGATTGTGACCTCAATATACATGTATGCCTCATTCCGTATGCACAATACTGCCCCAAAACCTGCCCAATTTTTCAAAACCGAAAGGATTTATTGGAAGGATTTAAGAAGACACAGCCTCCGCTTTTACTTTGCATGTCCCTTGGCAGTAATATCCAGAAAAAAGAATATGCCATTAGTTCCCTGCATATTCAAGGATTGAGAGGGATCCAGGTTCAAATGTATGTAAGTTCCTGGCCCACATAGAGCCTTTGCATCTTGCGACCACACAGTCCCAAATATGACAAAGGTATTAAAAAAAAAGGCCAAAGTTTTGAGACAATCTCTATGGCCACCCAAAGATTGGAAAGTTGGAAAGTTTTGTCACATCTATTGATCAAGTACAGGGCTTGAATTGAACGACGGCCACGACGGCCAGTGCCGTCGTTGCCTTCTTACTGGCCGAGGTGCCCCACAAAAAATCCCTGTCTTCACGGCCAGTTTTGCCTTACCCCATAATTACCTTGGCCGTCGTGCCCTTTTTGCAAAAACATCTATCAGCCTATTAAAACCACTACAATCCTTGATTCCAGTTGTTTTTCCACACATTGACAATGTATTTCGATGCCATGCCAGCCCGATCAGTTGTCTTAATATCTCGCCGAATCAATCACACGCGCGCGGTGAGTACGGCCGTGGCCAGCCGGCAAAACGCCGGCGATTCCCCACTGTATGTACAGTACATGATGTACACTGCATGCCATACATGTACACCGCACTGACAACCAAAGATCTACGCGCGCTCTAGGATCAAGTTCCTGTATGTGCCGATACTTCAAGTAGCGACACCCCCGCCGCAAAAATATATGTGTGTATTCGTACACACACATACCAGCAGGATTAAGTACGGCAGATCTTACGTGCAGTCAACAGACTTTCTTTTTCTCAGTGCTTGCATGCGCGGTACATACAGAACACATTGATGTTCGTGTACGAGGCAAACGAGCTCGGAGCATAGTGAAAACACGCGTGCACATGGCGTTCCGAATTCCGATTGTCAAAAGCGGACATTGTAAATGGCGATCGTGTATTAATTATGGGCCCGATTCCCTAAGAGAACAAAATCAACTTTTAAGCCACATTAAGAACATGCAGGTAGGTTATAGATAGAGGGAAGGGTTTCAAATTTTTAAGGGGAATTTGGAGGGAAAACGACAACGAAAAAACGCAACACGAAAATAGAGATGGCGATCGCACGTCACCAACTAGCCACTAGCATGACTAGTGTGGCCGTCGGTATGCTGCGCTGAACCAAAGCGCAGCATACCGACGGCCACACTTGTGGGGCTAGTCACCAACCATAAAACCGCTTACAAAAAACATAATTTCTATCCTCCAAAAAGTGTTCAAAATTACAAAACAGGTGCCATATAAGCTGAGAGAAGTCTGCTTTAGGTTGAAAAGGTAATTTTTTGAATGATATAAACATCTTTGACTCAAATTTGATCGAAACTAAAGAGGGGCCATAAACTACATGATCGCCGATATAAATTCGCATTTTTTTTTAGCCGGCCTCTGTGCCCCTTCTGCAGATATTAGTTTGGCCTTGGTGCCCTCCCAACTGGCCTTGGTGCCCTCTATAATTTTGCTCCATTCAAGGCCAAAGTGGCCTTGCCCTAAAAATTCCCAAATTCAAGGCCTGAAGTACAATGTACATGTATTTGTGTGGTACATGTGAACTCCCCAACCTGTGCTAATTCAGCCGCATGTACATGTACATACATGTATTGCACAAATACAGTGTTTGTATCACAAGTGCAATAATTTATGATCATTCATCAACTTTTTTAATTGTACAATTTTTAATGGTGCAAGAGGGACCTGTCTATAGTCCTGACTGACTGACTGACTGACAGTCACTCGTGAGCGGGGCAGTGACATCCTAGGGGACAACCCTGTCTATATGCCAATGAATGGGCTAAATCTGGCCAATCATGAAAAGACTTTAAGAGAATTAGCCATTTTGACTCAATGGGATTTTGAGCACTCTGGGATTGGCTTGATAGATGTAGCTCTGTGGTGTTTTTTTTGGTCAATGACATTGCACTAGGCACAGGAATGTCGCTACGAGAGAACTCAGAATTTGGTGCATTCAATTGCCATTGTTCTTTAAAGTATAAAAGAGCCACATAAAATCACAAGGGAGATTTCAAAAGAACGTTAAAATGTTATCTTAATCTCCATTTTACATTTATTTGTTTTATTGTTTAGCATGTTATAATTTAGATAGTGGATATATTGCCGGAGGTAATGCCGGCAAGCTAACGTTTACTAAAGGTTTGCCGGCGACAATCCATACCAACAGAGGGCGCTGTACTCTCAAAGATAGGGCTGAATTATAAGATATATTAAATTACCACCAACAATTGTGTAGCACACCTGGTCTAGTGGATAAGCAATGGATCTCATGAGCGGGAAGACCCGGGTCCAATCCTGATCACCGCTGCCGACATTTCTAAGGTTTTTTTTTCCCATCCCCGAAAAATAACAATATTCTTCTTTTATTATTTTAACATGTCTCAAACATTTTATTGCAGAGTATTACATTTTCTTTTTCAGATTTGTGGCTCTGGAGGATTTTTTTTAAGGGATATGAACTCCGAAATTGTAAAACGGTCTGATTCCCATCTTGAGAATACGAAGTTACAACGATAATGTTGGCATGGAGCCAGACTAAAATTTGTCACCGGAAAATGTTTTAAGTACAAAAAAATAGTAACTGCATATGTTCAGTGCATATCCGCCAAGGTAACGTTTACTAAACGTTTGCCGTCTCCCCCCCCCCCCCCCCCCCCCCCCCCCCCCCCCCCCCCCCCGGCTGAACAAATCTGTCTTTAAATACAGCTATAGCTAGTGCTAGACTAGGCCCCAGTTGATAATGATATCAACTACGGCTGGAATTTAGATGGGCATGACACCGGGTGATGAAACTTAACAGCATTCTTGCAACTAGTGTATGCCCAGTGATGCCTGTGTGCTCCACTACGTGCATGACTAGCTTCATAAATGTGGCCAATTTACTGGACTACCTAAATAAAGGCCACACTTCCACCATGTACAAAAACATGTTGAACTTTGTCAAATGTTGATTTTCACATTTAGGCTTAGGCCCTAGGCCTAGTTTGTAGTTTTATTTTTGCTTTAGAAGTATACTCACCCTCTTTATAGGCTAATCAGAAAGTGCTGCCTTTTTTCAGATGTCTAATTTTTGTGCAATTTCATGTTGAAATTTTGACACGCAAACTTGTGCAAACGAATCTGGAAATTTCACGAAAAATAGACATCTGAAAAAGGCAGCACTTCTGATTAGCCTCTAATTAAAGAGGGTGAGTATGCTTCTATTTCTAAAGCAAAAATAAACTACAAACTAAGCCTAAATGTGAAAATCCAAATCTGACAAAGTTCGACATGTTTTTGTACATGGTGGAAGTGTGGCCTTTTATTCACGGAGGTTGTCCAGTAAATTGGCCAACACGGCAACAGCCATGACATTGACAGCAGCCTTAAAACTTAATGATTTCAACAACATTTAACAGGCCTTGTTGTAAACACTTTATTCTCTTTTTTTGCTGAATTATTGTGAAATACATTTCAAATCTAACTTCTTTAGTACTAAAAACCACTGAATTCGCGGGTGGGTTCTGTGACAACCAAGGCAAAGTCCTCCCCGCGAAACACGCATACCGACATCGTGGCATCGACCTGCAAAACAGGAAAAACGTGACCAACTCGTTTCTTACCTCGTCCGAGTCGCCAAACGTGTCGTAAAACCACCTCAAATTTCTCTGGATGTTGGCTGTGAGATTGAAGAAGAGAATCTGTGAGTTTCGGGCTTCGTGGGGCATGAAACGTATGAGAGATCGGCCATATCTTTGGCCAGGCCGCCCGGGAAAACGTAAGCGCGCCATGTTGAAATTCGTCCAAGTATGCACGATATTGCATGCAGATAGTAAATACAACACGCACATAAATGGCGGGCCCGGGAACGAGATGTGAAGTGATGCATAAAGATTGGTACAAAGGTTGGAGGTGAAAGGTCATACTTCACGTTGTCGCGCGGCATCGGGTGTCGGACGCTTCGCCCCATTTCCACGTCGCCCCATGTCACTTCGCCCCTAACCACTTCGCCCCATCCCCACTTCGCCCCATCCCCACATCGCCCCATCTCCGCTTCGCCCCATCCCCACTTCGCCCCATCCCCGCTTCGCCCCATCCCCACTCCCCACTTCGCCCCATGTAGTATAAAAAAGGGAAGGTTAGGGGTGCAGACCAAATAAACTGCCAAAGACCCCAGATAATAAATGCTCCCAATTCTAGAAACTTAGGAAAAATACAAACTCTCTGATGAGGTGCTCGAGACACAGATGAGAGAAATGATGGCTTAAATAAAATCATCAGCCGCTGGATTCAAAAGAATCCCGTAGGTATGGGTCAGTGAGTTCAAAGGAACTCACTGCCTTGAGGAAAATGTTCCGTCAAAATTTGTCTGATATGTGAGACTTACAACTTCATTGATGAGATTGGTTCCTCCAAGAGTGAAATTAGGATGTCAAAGGTATTGTCGTTCTCAGATATGTGGGAGACGGGTTGGTATAGCCGGGTTGGGAACAAAGTTGGATCTTTTACTTCAAGCTTTTTTCTCGGTAGGGGAGAGCCTAGCTTGAGAGGTTGGTTATGAATTGTTCATTTGGTGATGGGCTAATTCTTTCCGTTGGTTAGCAATTAGTGAATCTATTGAAATAGTTTTTTTTTAAGCCAAAAAAATAGATGAAGATTTTTTTTTTTTACATGTAACGGCTGGGGCGAAGTGGGGATGGGGCGAAGTGGGGATGGGGCGAAGTGGGGATGGGGCGAAGTGGGGATGGGGCGATGTGGGGATGGGGCGAAGTGGGGATGGGGCGAAGTGGTTAGGGGCGAAGTGACATGGGGCGACGTGGAAATGGGGCGAAGTGTCCGACATTCGCGGCATCGAAGCCGAAATGCAAGTTCTTTCTTTCTTTTTACAACGATTGTGTTTATAGCTCCTTGATGTAACTAGATTTTTTGGTGGCTCTAATTTGTAAGGATTCAGTGACCCAGTTTTGTAACAAAGATAATCTTTAGAATCGCCTATATCGTTTGAAGATTCCAATTTAAAGTGCTTGGAAATTGGAAAACACTTTCGGACGCGAGGCCTGCATGTGCGCCTGTACGCGACGGGTATTTAGCGGTTTGAAACTGCTGGAGTATTCAGTATTAAAATGATTTTAATAGCCTCGCGTGCGGAAGGGGGATAGTTTAATTGCATCGAATTCAATCAATGCCATGTTGAGAGTGGAAGATTTCCAAATAATAACTAATAACGCCGGCGAGCTCGCTGAAGCTACATAGTTCCCAACGGTTGTCCCATTATGCCGCGATAGTGGGCCATGCACGGCACCAGTCTATTAGGATTGTGGGCGCATCTGGCAGGTCATTCATTTTATTTTGAAAGGTTGATTTAATTTAGCACACTACTTATGAAACAACACTTCAAAGTATATAGGCCTAAATCTTTATCCTGCAATTTTCGTTTTATTCAAAATACGGGCTGAAAATCCTGCCCAACTCAGTTTCAGAAATCGACTCTATGGCGTTTATACTCGGCGACGTCAACTTCAATAGAGAGTTTCCGGGCGCTGAGTTTCCGGCCGGACGGCGGCCGGCCGCCCGGCCAATAGTACGCAATGCAACTGTCCAGTCTTCCCTGGCAAGGGGAGGGGGGAAGGGGGGGGGGAATGTTTTTCCCAAACGAAATCTGCATGGGATGTACGCTACGACATTTTGGACTTAGTTGAGAAAAAAATATAAAACTAGAAGAAAAAAAAGAGGAATCGAATTGGGGAACGTAATAAAATTAGAAAAAATATATGAATTAGAACTTAATGAAATTCCAACTTTACATTTCCCTTAAAAAACAAAATCATCAAAAGAATCCTCAGATTAGAAAAAAACAAATTCGGGAAAAACCGATGATTTGGACCCATACCGCGTCGCGAGGGTACCTCGATCGCGGTACAAAATCGCGACCTCAAACTGAGCTATCGCACTGCTCGATCGACCGTCCTGGAAACTCATGGTAATATCTACCTGTGTCATTATTATACAGCTCTATGACCTGTGTACGTATCATAAAAGTATTGTAGAGGGCGCTCAACAACCATGTAATCCAAATGTTGTTTTGGGAAAAAAATAATTCGCGGCAGGAAGGGGGGGGGGGCTGTTCTAGGGGTAGCAAGCCTAAGTATAAAAACGTCGTATATTAATAGATTTTATTGGCTTTATCTCAGCAGATCGAGTATTACTAAATATGCATGGTGACATTTTCGTGTTTTATCCCGATACAAAAATAGATTCCTTTTCTAAATTGCTATTTTTCTAAAGTCATACACTTTTGAATGAGACATCGACCGAAAAAAACGGCCCACGTTAGTCAATGAGAAAGTTTGAATTTCCAGACCGTGGAATTCCGTTCTCGCGGCCGAGGAAGGCGAACCCAGTTTCCTCGCGAAGCAGACCAAAATAAAAACAAAGAAATTAGAGGGTAGCACATCCAAAAACTATTCTATAGCGATACAAAAGCTATTTACTTTTGATTCAGACATATTAAAATCGACCGCAAGATCGGCCAATGTTAATTTCTAGTTATTGAGCAATTTCGAATTATCGGCTGCCAATTTTTCGAAATTGCGGTGAAAGACGATAAAAAAAAGCTGACCATCACCGTAAGCCGATCTGCTCGCAAAACGGATCTGTTTGTGCCCTAATTGTTCAGACGGTTGCAGACGCCCAAAAAAGGGCAAAGGTGAGGTGCCAGTTAAAAGATAGTTAAAAATTTAGTGATGGCCAAAAAAAAAAATCTAATTTGTTGAAGAGCACAGGGAACGCAATTTAAGTGTTAATCGAAACGAAAATGACCGAATGCCCATTTTCGTCAATATGGTAAAGATAATTCAACATTTAACTTTGATTGCTTCCCATTTAACGATCCGATGACTTCTTCTCTGATCCGTCCATGTTAAAAAAATATATATTTTCAAAATGAAGTCACACTAATTAACTTTAAAGATCATCAATGCTTTGTTACGTGTTCTGAAACTTCTATTAACAGTTATGTGAGATTTTCATGGTTAAATGACGGTGGTATAATTTTCGTCATTTGGGCAACAACGGACTGATTAAAGTCTATTCCTGGCACTCACGACCTTTGACAAGGGCAATGGCGGGACAGCACCATATCCATGTATTATTTTGTTTAGTCATCAAAGCGTATACACAGACAATTGGTTTACACATTTGCAGTGTGTATAGTGCAATATGACGCAAAACATTGACGTCAATTTATTGCGAACTAAAAATAGGGATCTATTTCTGGTACTGAAACGCAATAGTCTTCAAAATAGTTGCGTGATTGCTTCAATTCATTGCATGTATACTTGCTATCCTCGCATGACAGGGAATTAAAGTTATATTTTTTTGCCGCTAACTCGTCACTTTTGTACGTGAACTGCTGTCTCTTTTTTGGGGAAAAAGAAAAATCTGCTTGGCTTTTGTATCGTGAACGAATCCGTGTTTCAACCATTTTAACCTGACTGGTCGGATCTCGAGTTTCCGTAACTACCGTACTTCGTCAGTCGTTACAAATTCTATGTGAAAATGGTAAGCAGAAATTTCGTTGATGATTTAAGACTGGTCAGTTCAATACGGGTTGTATTTTTTTATAAGCACGTAGTGCTGTTCGAGAACTTTTGGGGAAATTTAAATTTAAGCTTGCTCTGCTATATAGGTGGGAGTCGAACCCACGACCTTCTTCCGTAGGTGGCATGGTGTATGTAGACATCTTGTGCCACTTGGACCTCCGATGTACTGTGCAAAAACTTTTACCAAATAGGGGGTGTCTCATAAAGTGTATATGAGTGGATTAAATATTTGCCTCCAATATGCTCCAGGATAAAACTCATTTCATGGACCATTCTTTCTGGTAATAAACTCGCAGTGTTATTTTTTTAATATCTTTGTTCTAGAGTAAGAATGCAGAATTGCCATATTTTGGTCATACGAAGAGAGACAACGGTTATACCGTAGATATCGGTTCTAATGCAACACAGACAGTTTACGATGATGCCTTCAAAGGTACGTCATGTGGGGGCACTATGGACTTAAATTTATTCACGAGTCGGCCATTATTGAATTGCAAACGAGGTTAACTCATTTTTGGAACTTGCGGAGTAGAAACAATGAAATAAGTTCCTTATAAATTGATACCAGTCTTCTGTGATGTATAATTTAAATAATGTGACTGATTAAACATACTAATTCATATACCCTAATATTTTCAGCCACATTAAAAAAAAAGTGCAAAGTGAGGCTTGGAACGCGCACTCCCATCACAAAATATAGTCTGGCACCATCCCACTCAACAGTTTGCAATTTAAATGACATTCAGGGAACACGATCGAAAATGGCTTCTCGTGAATAAGGTCTATGGCATAATGATTATGTAGAGTTGGATATTAATGGTTTAGACCTACATGAGAGGCCATTAATAGGGGGTTCGGTTCACTGGGTACACCAACATCCGTCTGGTGAAAGCTCAAAAGTACGGAAGCTGAGAAGGTCCACAAGCAATAAAAAAAAATCAAACAAAGTCACAGTGTAAATAGTGTCCTTCATAATGCAACTCTCTCCTCCAGTGTAAGCTGTACGCCCTGGAGACTCATAAACTGACTCAGGGCCAGAGGCAGGGGTGATGTATGGAAGCCCCTTAAGTTCCTAGCGCATTGCATTCCACGTGACTATGACCTTATTACCTTGCCTCCATGTACAAAATGTTCATAAACAACATTACGAATAATTGTCACACAATTTTTGTCAACTACTTTTGGCTTTTTGTGGACAGTTAAAATTTGGTACTTACAGTTTTATGGGACACTTTGGGGGTTCGTTTTTGGTCAATTTTTTTGAGGGACCGACCGACCGACCCCAAAGTGACTCGAAGAAGCTCTGTTGCCAGAGTTTAAACATTGTTAGACGCGGAGAGTTAATTACTTTCCCGCATTGGCACTCCCCACGCGAGATGGAAAGTCTAAAAGACCCGTGCCGTGTAGCAAGTGTGACCAAAAGGGCATAATGATAATTTCCCATTGGTAGATTGGCAATTAAAAGCTTGTATGATTTCCTCTGTAAAAGATGATGCAACTTCTTCGTATTGGCCTCTCCTCGATCAAGTCAGAGAAGCCACCAGAACCTCCTCCACACCCCTGCAGTTCTTCCGCAAGTTGCACAACATCTTTCTATTGTCAGGTAATGTCTTAACGATGGGCGTGGTCAATATACCCAAGGACCAATAAGAAGTTGCTATACAGGCCTATAAGAGCTAATGCACAGCACGATTAAAATAATCATTGCAACATATAGTCTTAAAATCACAGCATAAATTGATTGTAGATGTGGCTGTTGGACTCGAGGTCATTAATTATATTTCAAAGTTTTAGTCCTTCTCAAACTAATTTACTCTGTGTGCCCAATTAAAGAACACTAATTACGGCGGGCAAGGCCATGGGCAGATTGGCCTTTATAATATATAAACAAAATACCACAGAACTCAACTTTCACATTGTGATACTAAGCTAGATCGTAAAATTTATATCAGAGACTCAAATGCCGACTCAGTATAAGATTGAGACTCGATTTGACTTGGGTGCACTTGTTAATCAACTCAAAAGGACTCGACCTTGTTGAGTTAATAGAGCATGCAAATGTCGCCAGCTCAAGTTTACTTTTTAAACGAACGTCCTGGTACCATACACTCAATAGTCCAGACACAGACTCCCGTGCTAGAATTTACCCACGTCGCTCTTTTCACACTTTTGTCATGGGCATGCAGAGCCTTGATCTGGCAACTTTACAGAATAAATATAGCCGGTTCAGTGATTCCCGCGTTGGGGTTCAGATCACCTAACCGGCTATTTTTGTATAGAATTGCCAGATCGAGGCCCTGCATGCCCAATGGCGGAGCGTGAAAAGAGCGAATTGTTAGACGCGTGATCGATTAAACGAAGTCGAGGTATAATGTTCACTTTATTGCAGTCATCAATTCGCAATGTTTCCAATATGTGATATACTTTACTATCTTTAACAAAACTCATTCATTGCCATTGACTGGATAAAACTAGTCAGAACATTAAAAAGGTCTAAATGCAAAAAAGAAAAAGAAGTTGAGTTACGCACGTCGTAGATCCTATACATGGTGCTCGGATGTAATTTAATCCGGTTAAATTCGTAGATTTTGAGTTCAACTATGCACGCTCTATACTCGACTCGACCCCTGGCCACTCGAGTCACAACATTTAGTGACTTCACTTCTTTACTTTACGTCCGCCCATTAACTTTTATGGTTGCAGACCAGTAAATCGGTCCGAAATTACCTATGCTGGCCAAATCACGATGTGCATGCCCTCAAAATCTTCAGTATTTGAGCATGCTGTGGGCCACGAACTTGAGGGTTTGTAAAAAATATGGATGGAAGTCGTGCACAGGACTGTGAGCTTGTAGTTCCGTTCAAAATGGATGAAATTGGGGCCCTTAAAGCGCTCTATTTTACAATGGAGTGTAGGCATCGTTTTTCAAAATGGCGATGGGCATCAGGACTATTTTTCAGGGGTGATCATCATCGGATGGAAATTTCTCCTAAAAGTCATCAGTTGACCCCTCAAAAATTGAAAAGAATATGAAAGATGATGAAATAAGCTTTAATTTGATGTGAGTCTTGAACACTTGGAGAGTTGTGAGTATTTTTTTCTGAATTTCTGAAGTGGGAGCATTTACCATTTGGGTCTACGGAAGTTATTTATTTACTGGTCTGCAACCTTTATAAGGACATGGGTTCCATAGTGTTACCATTCCTAATGCGTCATTTTAATGACCAGATGGCATGGCATTTTCTTTTCTTTTGCACAGCTCTGTGCACAATCCTCATCACATTGTGGCCAACCATACCAGTTTCTATGGTTGTAATGGGTAAGGCCTTTCATTATTTTATCTTAAAGCTCCCATTGCAGTCACCCCTTTCGATTAAACCGACCCACTGTGACCGAACATGGCCGAACGTTTATAGAGGGCACCACTTCCGGGTTTTGGCAGGTCAACGATATTGTGTTCTTGCTTTATGTTTAGGCTTCTCCTTCATAATATTTAACGGTTAACTAAATGTGACCGGCCAGACTTAAATTCCAGAAATTATGCGGCCAGGTCACGTCTGCACTCTGCAAACAGTTTCTTTGTCGATGTCTTGTACATGTATTATGTCCGATTCACTTTCATCTGGTTTCTTTTAAATTCACATAAAAGCAATTCCCCGTTCATGCCAAAACCTTTATTTTCTACGAGCCAGTTCAGTCAGAGTTGGCCTTACATTTGGAAGCAAAAGGTCATCGTTGCACTGTTTTGTGGTTCTTACATGTGGTCATTCTGTTTCTGTTACAGGCGCTGTTTTTATACACGACTGCCCTCTGGAGCCGAAAATTCCCATCTATTTGCTCGTGACAGGAGCCTGCTATTTTCCTCGCACCCTGCTTGATGTCGTCGTCAGGTTCTGCCGGCCCCGGCATCCCGAGGACGAGAAGTCAACAATGTGCCGAGTTACTGTCGCTCTTCGACGAGTCCAATTGTTCTTCCTATTTGTATTTATGATTGTTGGTAGGTACTAACAAAATGTACATGTACATGTAGCTTGTTCTGGGTGGATAGTATACAAAATTAATATACCATGGTTTGAGGGTGGACAGTCGATACTCGCGCCCTGAGGTATTAGAAATTGAAAAACTAGTTCCCAAGGCGAAGCCGAGGGAACTAGTTTGTCAACTCCCAATACCGATTGGAGCTAATATCGACTGTCCACAGGAAATAAACCATGTTATATTTGTTTACTATACCTCATACATAATTATTCAGTTGCCGAAGATTCCCGTTGCAGTATGCACCTTGCGAGCAAAAAAAGGCTTCGGAGAAACTTGTCCAGCTCAGCAGAAGAATATTATTGCTCAACCTCAGAAAAGTTCAGTTCGTTTGCATCACAGTAACTACGGTTGTAAATACAATTTTTTTTAGTACAGGAAGCATCTTTATTGTCAATATACAATATTCTCCAGTTCGGCATCATTGAGCTGGGGAAAACGCTAATGAATATTTACGTTAGCCTACAACCACAGAGTCTTTTCATGCGTAGCTGGGGCGATGTTCGCGGGGGTCCTTATGATTACTGTAGGGAGACAGAGTGTCAGATACTGTGTGTACACGGTGTTTTTTAGGTTATCGTTTTAGGAGAACTCGCCCGATAATCATGACCTCCATTTTTTTTTCTCATCACGAAGGCAATGTGTGGGTGTACCGGAACTACTCACCCAGTGAAGACCCAGACTCAGTGGACTACTGCTACGGGCCGCTGTACTACTTCACCTTTTGGCTGATGACGGTCACGTACATTGTCATCGCTTCGGGTTGCCTGTGCATGGTTGTCATGACACTCTGCCTTATTGGATCTTCATTCCTAGAGGAGAAGACGTAAGCTCGGTTATAACCCGGCAGGTTATGCACAAAGCCACCATGGGCGTTGCCCCCCCCCCCCCGTAAAAGCCACACAAAAAAGGAGAAAAAGACAAGAGATGTGAAGTCATACTTGCTATTAATTTCAGGCTTTGCATGGTGGAGTATCAGTATCGTTTCGGTTTGCGGTAACACCTAGCCCAGGTGGACTCCCTTTCCTCCCTACGTAACGGAAGACTCCCTTTCCTCCAACCTGGGCTACGGTAACACCATGTGGTAATAGCTACTGTCGCTCAGTAGATATTTAGTTTTGATGAGAACTTAGAGCAGGACTGTTCTTATCGGAACTAATTAACTTCTCAATAAAAGTTGATAATAAGCAGGACAAATTCTTATTGGAACTAAACATCAATTGAGCGACAGTAGTTATTACCACTCGGTGTTACTGCAAACGGAAACAATACTGCTATTTATTTGATACACATTTAACAAAATGGGCGTCTGGAGGGGTGTCAATGGGGGTGGGGAAAATGTGCCCGCCCACTATCAAAAAATTATAAATTTAGAATATGCAAGGGAACCTACAAGACTTTGGGGGAACAAAAAATGTGCTTTGCCCCCCCCCCCCATAAAAAAATCCTGGCGACGCCCATAAAAGTCACTCACCGAGAGACGGAGTTACACCGGAACTGATGCGGTTTATTCTGCTGACGGCGCCGGCGGTTGCTTTCAGTCTGTTCTCTGGCTGGGTTTTTATGTCGTCTTTGGAGATACCAATGTTGCAATGCAGCTGCTATCTTACAAGTGTTCTTGCCTAATTAGGACTTGAATGTTAATAATAAATGATTATAAAGGTGGACCACTCTAGACAAATTAGTAGGTAAATAATCATTTAGTCCAAGGGTGGATCAAGAACATAAGGGGGGGGGGGCAAAATAATTTTCCCCGAAAGTGGGTCCAAAAATGTAGGGTGTGGGGTTCGGGATCCGCCCTTGCTATAGTCGCGACCAAACCCGGCAAAGGGAGGCGCCTTCCTTCAAGGGCACGCGGAGTTGCAGGAACTATGTAATTTTCCTTAAGGGGAAGATACAACATTTGCAAATATCAGAAAACGAAATGATCAAATTATCACGAAATACCTTACTGGATTGTTGGGAGTGACAGTTTAAAATATCCTGTAAAATCGTGGCTCCTGGTGCGCTGCATGACATTTTCAAGAAAAATTTATTTTTTTTCCAACGCTGGTCGGCCGACCAGCTTGCAATTGATTACACACGGGGTACAAGCCTGCTAGACTGATTCTCTGACCTAACAATTCCCGTTTCACCTTAAGCGGGGTCAGGGAACCGGACTACGAGAACAGATTGGTTTTCTTGCTTTTTCCAGCATCTGCAAGCCCAAAAGGTGCAACAAGTCAGTTAACAATTTGATATGACATACTGATCCTATTTATTTCTGAAAAATTGCAGTTTAAGCAAATGTTGTACATTCCCAAACAATCGATAACAAATTGATAACTTGCTGATTGATAAGTGCTGCAGAGCCACTAAACATTTTATTTTCTGTTGTAAATGATGCAGAGGTTCCCTGATTAATAGCACCACTCTGGTAGTTAAGGGGGCGGAGCCTAAGCGCCTCATTTGAAATTGACAGTGTACAAACAATGTTGTGGAATGAGCTGACTGTAGCTTGATAGATTCAGAAATATATATTTTTGATAAACAGTACCGTAGCATTACATTTAATTAATTATAAATTGTTTTTAATTATTTTGTTTTATTAATAACATAGTTTTCTTGCAAAGAATTCGTGTATTTTTATAATGTAACACCGCTTTGTGATGTCAATGTGACAGGGAAAGCGTTTTTAAAATAATGAATGTGATTACTGTTAAGCCTCATAAATTGATGGGATCATACATTCTATTCATCGGCAATCCTTATTTTTAGGACACCTCTATTTTTTTACGAGTTCTGTTCAAAACTGATTTTTGCAAATGACTTCCCAGTACCAAAGTGACTTTTGCAGGCTACAGCAGTCTGTCTCCAGATACACTGATGTTAGTTGTAATTTTAAAAATGTGACTTTCTTGCTTTTTTTGCAGTTTGCCATCTTGGCTTTTGAGTCTGTTTTCTGGTGGCATATCGTCGTCTTTACCCCTTAATTTCCTTCATAAATCAAAGCCCTGCCCTCTTTCCACAAAATTAAACCTGCTGATATTCAAGAAGTTATCAGTGCCAATTGTTCATGTGTGAAACGTGTCATGAAATATCACAATGCGACTTTTGAGTGTCATTTTAGCAAGCTGTTTGGGTGAATCGATTAACCTTATATATGGGAACGGGGTTCTAAGGGTAAGGATTACCTTATGAGCAGTGGGTTCTACTTGAACAATGATTGCACTCATAATGATCGAAATAAAATGTGATTTTTTTTCAAAACGAAACTTGTATGTCTTATCTTGTTACGTTAACTTTCAATTATGTTACAATGAAACACGAAGTACATAATTTAGTGTATCACACAGGAGTTGTTCTTTCAGAAGTCCAGGGTGACCAGATGAAAATCGCAAACTTCCGCTAGATGCATTTCAAAGTTCTGCTTGATTTAACAACTTGTTACATTACCTTATTTTCAACCTCGTTCCCAAGCTGTATACTTGTTGCCCTTCTTTTACAAGTAGTTATTTCGAGATTTCTAGCTTGTTCCTGTGCTATGCACCTGTAAAAATAACTATTTTATGTTGAAAAATGTGTTCCAAGTTATCCTCTAACTAACTATTTGTTTAATTCATATAGTTATTTTCTGTAGGCACGTTAACGGTTGCCAGAACTTCAAATATGTATTTTCTGTAAAGTTTGACACTGGTTTTACATGCTAAAATTAATTGGTTCTGAGCTTCAAATATTTGTTTTCTGTAGTCGAATGTAATGTGCCTGCCGACATGACTAAAGTATCACCCCAAGTTTGTTCCTCTTCTACATCCCATTTCTAAAATTAATTGGCTCTCGGCTTCAGGAACCTATTTTCAACATGATTCAAGGTATTGATTCTTTCCCCATCTGTAGTGTTGTCTGAAGTAAATTGAACTTGAGGTTTTATTTGGAAATGAAAGAGATCAACACCTGTGAATTCCTTATACGGCGTCTCTGTCTCTACTGGGCCGTAGTAAATAAGTTTGACCTTCTAAACGGTGAGTCGGCACGTTCAGTCCTATTGTTCTCCTGGGTATAGTCATGTACCTGGCACGCGCCTATTGTCGCTGAAATATTCCTCTTGTTTGCAGGTGCAATTCTTGGTAATTGACAGATTCTCCACGCGTGTATCAATGCCAAAGTTGACTAGTTGCCTTCAGGTCTGATATTCGTATACACATTGGACATTTTGAACAAAGTTCAAGATAAAAACACCTCTTGAACCATCAAGATACTTCTAATATATAAACTCGAGGTCCTCTTTTACGACAATAATGTCTCTTCCGGATCTTCAGGCATGAAGTATAAACCCAGTTGCAAGAAATGTAGACTTCAAGTTTGCAGGAAATTCTTCCTCAAGTTTTTCCTTTTTAACGGATAATTAATCGCAACAATTCAAAATCAGGTGACCTTTACTTCCGGTGTTACTGGATGTTTAAATTAAATTATTTTTCAAATGTATCTCAAGACTAATTTATCTGGTCGGTTGGAATTTTTTTAAAGCATGAGTCACAATCCCCATGTTCTTATGTATAATCGCGTCACAATGTCTTTCATCGTTTTCTTTAAACGACTTCATGAATGGTTGTAATTCGTATAAGGCCATCAGCCTGGGGGTTTGGTCGGTATCAAATGAGGTGAATCAAATAAAGTTCATTGTGATTTTGGCGAGGTATGCACCTCTGTAGCTGTATATGTGATATAGCATTACAGCGATAACAGCTCTTTTGGGCGGACAAAACATGCTTGTTACCAACTAGTCCGGTGACAAGCATATTGGCGGCCATTTTGTACAGAAAAAAAAATAAAAGCGATAACACCCCCCCTCCCCCCAAACTGCCACTGCTCACACTGCAAAAATATCACACATTTTCTCTAGACGTGCATATACAGGGTGAGTCAAAAAAAAAAAGCGGAAGCCAAACCCCAAAAATTATTTTTTCAAGTTTAAAAAAATATGTAGCACCAAAAATAATATCGACTAGAAAGCCAATTTCATGAGGTACTTTTGGATAAAAAAATGACTGAAATTGGTCAATCCGTTCGAAAAAATATCACCATTTGAACACAATGACCCTTAAACCCGTCTCGTCCAAAAATGCGATTTCAAGAATCGTCGTCGCAATTGTCTTTAACATCACCAGTGATAAAATTTCAGTTTAAACGTTAAAATATTTAACAGAATCCCTCTGGAGACCCGTCCTTTGAAAAAGTGCATGTTTATAAATCATTTTATTTGCCTAACCACGGTTGTTAATAAAGATATTGTGTACTACATTTGGTGACAGTTGTTGGAGCAAGTATTCTGTGTCATTTTCTTTGTTGTTCAAAACAGTTAAATCACACAATGCATTGCCTTTTTCGGACGAGACAGGTTTTTAGGGTCATTGTGTTTAAATGGTGATATTCTTTAAACGGATTGAGCAATTATAGTATTTTTTTTTCATCTAAACGTAGCTTATGAAATTGCCTTTTCAGTCATTATTATTTTTGGTGCTACATATTTTTTAAAATATGAAATATATTTCATTGGGTTTGGGTTCCGCTTTTTTTGACTCAACCTGTACCTTGCCAATAATCGTTATGAGCATTGCTCCTTGCGATCATTTGATACCGGTGGCCCGAATATTTTGACCGAAATTTTGGACCACACTTGTAATAAAGAGTCTAATGTGGTTTTCAGAGAGAGAGATATAGAGATTTGAAGTTGAAGTTGATGCATTGGCTATACGTTCTGATCTGTCAGTCACTTGCTTTGGTTTCCATGCAAATTTGCAAATACCAGATCAATTACGTAAATTCAATATTGACAAATTGGATGACATAAATATGTATCTGAAGATGCAAAACATTCTGTTAGG